GGAGTTGGGGTGGTTTCGCTAGTATAGGGGAGAAAAAGTCAGGTGAACAGGCTCCGGGAAAGGGTAAGGGGTCCGGGGCCCCCGCGGCACAACCCCCCCCAAAAATTCTCCAAGGGCCCCCCCCCCCCCCGGGGTTATTACCAAATTTTGCCGCCGTTGAGTTTTGTTTGACCGCTGACAGAGAAGAAATAAGGACGATAGGAAGAGAAAGAAGCAGCAGTAAGAGCGTATAATAACAGATCGAAAACATAGGACACATGGATTCCAAGTAAACCTCTCTCGAAAGAGAGTCAGATTTAAACAACAACTGATTAGTTTAAACGGAATCAGGAGCCCGACGAAATGCGAAGATCAAAAGAATGCGATGTCCAAAAATGTTTGGGATGAACGCAATTCAAAATTACAATCCCCGGTAATTTCTGATTAATACTGAAAAGCGCACATTTTCGGCTACGAAAGTGGGGAAGAATTTTCACCGATTTTCAGGTTTTGAAGTTCAGCGGGTAGGGTGTCATAATAAGACAGAATCCCATCGGAAAATGAAGGTGTCGAAGTTCGCGGATATTTTACAACTGAGAGAAAAAGAATTTTTATCATTTCCCAAGAAGTATCGAAAAATAAACGGGAACCATGGTGATACGTCGCCATATGATACAATAATCTACAACATGTAGAAGTCTGATCAGCCTTTCTCAGCAACATGTCAGCAACTCACTGCAACAGGACGCAGCTGTCAGACTTCACTTTATATTTTATTCGAATCCAATGGAAGAGTCAAGACTTCTGAGTGCCATTGGAGACGCGCGATATAGCATGCGTGACAGGCGCAAAGAAATGAATAAAAGGGGGTGCTTATAGCAGGCGTCCCTTGCCCTATCTCCCCAATCCCCTCGCTTTTCCCTTCCTCCCAATCCTCTCGCTTGTTTTTCCCGACGCACGATAATCAAAATTTAAAAAGCACCTTGGGTTGCCTGTGAACAGGCTGAGCGAAAGCTAGAAACATGGCCTAGGCAGGGAGAGGAAAGAGGAGGGGCAGACTCCCACGTCATTAACGTCGCTTGCCCTGAATTCCATTCACAGGCTACGCCTTGGACCGGATAGCAGTAATATCAGTTAAGTATCGTACAGGGGCAGTCGTTCTGAAAGGATACGCGGCCACTAGTTTTCGCTCGGATTGTGGTTCATGATGATTCGCAGGGGAAGTGTGAGGGAACAGGGGCGTGGCCGGACAGGTTCGTGCTCGCCCCAATCTCCCTCTGCTTTGAAATCAAATATGGCGACTGCACATAGGAGATGTTCAACGCACAGAAGAATAAAGGCTCGATTAACCAGCCGCGGCGGAAATCGAGCTTTGCGGAAGAAGCGGGAGGGGGTGGGAAAGGAAATAAGAAAAGAAACTCCCTTCCCTCTCCTCCCTTTTTAAGCACTCATCCTACTTTCCTTTTGCGTTGTGAGACTTCCCACCCACGCTAGACCGAAAAAAAAAACACTTGCCCGCGGCCCGAAAAAAAATAGCGATAATAACACGCCTAGGCCAAAGGTCACTCATTCTTGGATACTCAGTCGTGTGTCTCTTAGCTTTCAGTTGGGTTAGTCACATTTTTGGGTCTCATCCAAGTCTCAAAAGTTAGAATTACATCTCAGCAGTAGACCTAACTATCTAACAGGGATAGTATTTCCGAAACCTAAAACCAACATTTTAGTATCTTTAATCAATCGATCAGTCATCTCAGTCGCAGGTGATAGTCGCGATCCTCGCAGATGTCTTATCAAATGGCAAAAGAGAAACCTAAGTAATAAGTAGACTGCTAGCAGACCCTTTTCAGTCAGTTAAGAACAGACTGAAGGGATTTTCGACAGAAATTAAAAGGAACTGATTTGCTGCGCGTAGCTTGCTCTTAACACTGTGCTGTATGCTCGTCTTCGTCGTGAAAATTTCAATTTCATATTTGTTGTCATCCGTGAAACGCCTAGAAGACTCCTAAAAAGTGGTTTCGAACTCGAAAAGGAGTCATTGTTTTAAACAGTTAAATTTCTTCTTTCTTTTTCAGAAGCAAAAAGACAAGTACTCAGGGGCACCCAACGAGAATATAGTTCAAAACCACATAAACAAAGAATTATTAAACGTATTTTAGTATATAAACGGTAGATATAGGCATATTTTTATCCCCTAAAAATTTTTCATCTGTTCCGATTTCCTAGCTGAAAGTGTAGTGATCCGAAAATTATAGGGATCAACCCTAACCTTAGAAAATTTCAGCCAGAAAAAAGGCTCCCGAAAATTCTAGGTGACCTTTTTACGGTAAAAATCCGTTAAAAATAGGCAATTATACCATTTTTTTGATGTTCGAAAATCCTAGGAGAGCCAGACAAGCAAGAAATTTTACAACAAATGTTCCGAAAATTCTAGATCTCATGCAAATCGTCTTCCGAACAGATATTCTTCCGAAAATTGTCGTTGGGTGCCCCTGAGTACTGCATGTTCCTTTTCTTATCTTTTTTTTACTGCGTTATCAAAGAGATTGAGAGTGATCAATTTCCAAGAGAAACCAGTTAGATAGCGAAATGATATTAATTGCTCCTGGGTATCTCCGGTGCAATTTCTATTTCGTGGTTTCTAGGGAGTAGTTATACCTTTCTTTATAACTAAATGAACACCAAGTGATGATAGCGAAACAATCGTAAAGGGTTATATGAGTGAATACAAGCAAAAATTCTGGATCGTGGAGAAGTTATAAAAGGGGAAGAGCCGTTGATACACACGAGGGTCGCGTCGCGCACATCGCTCGCAAGAAGCAACGCTTGCGGCACTTCTCACTAAATACACAACGATTATAAACAAAAGAAGACTGTTTTGCTGTCTGTGTTTGCCTGTTCGAAGGTCTGGCTAGATCTTTAGTTCAAAGGCTGTCAGTACTGCTTCCTTCTTCCTTTGTCTTTCCTTGATAGTGATAAAAATAATCCACTTCGCACTTGAGTCAAATGAAACTACTAAGCTGGGATGTGAGCTGTACCGAGTTTCCGTAGTATGTTGACCTGTTATATGTAGTCTATTGTTTCCTTTCACTGAAACAAAAAGAAACCTTGAGAAAAAATAGCAACTCCTGTATTCGCGTGCGACTTAGACCTACACAGACTAGACTAAACCAAAGGATATCCGGAAAATCAGACTGAGCAAGTATTGAAGTTAAACTGAAAAAAAAAAGAACAACACAAGTCTCTGTCGATTTCTGTTCGAGGCGTTGGAATGGAGACTACACCTTGATTGTACTGGGACCCTACTGGATATTACCGAGTACCGAGCGCGGAAGGCAAGAGAACCAACAAAAGAACAGCTATCTGAAAACGTCCAACTAAGCGGACACATCCCTCCATTTCAAAACTTAGGGGTCTTCATTTTGAGGTATCGGTTTCAATCCTGTTACGTTTAGGGCCGCAAAGTGGGTAGTTGACTTCCTTAAGTAATTTGCCGAATACAAAAATAGCAAATGTTGAATATAGCTTCCTTTTAGCAGATACACAGATGTATCAGTCTGCAGATATACTATGAATTTTGGAACTGGCGTGAGATTGTCGAGAGGTAGTATACCGTGTAGAAGGGAAAAGTATTTCTTTTAAAAGCCAAGTGACCGTTACTGATGATACCTAAGCTCCAGATGGCTATTAAACATTATAGGGTTTTGTACAGCATAACAAACAGCTCACATGTACAGAAAAGTACTGTTTAATAACTTTCACTTTTACATTTTCGGCACGATTGATTACAAACAAGAACTATCGAAAAAACAAGACTACTGCTAAAAATAGAAGCACTGTTGATCAGAAAAGACTACGCCAAATCAACAATGTTGATTGCGCGCGACCTTCACCCGCGCATGAAACTGCGTGGGAGACGCGCGAGGATCCGCGAGGAAGGGAAGAAAGCATTTTCCCTTTTCTCTTATCTCTCTCACGAGCCCTTCGCGATCATACGTACCTTTATTCCCACTTTGCCACACAGGCTTCTGCGTAATCGAAACGTGGACGACAAAGTACTCAGCAATTCTACGCCAGTGATCACTTCTCGCGCTCGACTGCTTGACTCAGTGATGCTCCCAATGAATTTGAAGTCGGAATTGATCTGATCTCACACAAAATTCGTTTGTTCCACGAGGATGTAATGAAAAGGCGTGACGACTTTTAGTTGATATCCCATGAGAAGTTTTTCCATTCGGCGATTTCTCACGACTTTGGTGACGTTTGGCATCTTTTTTGACCGTCCACTTTTGATTTTCAAGTGGTTAAATGGATTAAAATTTGTACACACAGGAGGTTTTGTCATCTGATAAGCCCAGCCCCCCATCACGATGCTTGGAAAGAAAATTAACCTTTTATCTCCCAGAAGAGGGCAAAGATAAAATTCGACAAAAATTCCAAATTTCATTTTGTAAAATGCTGAAAAACAAAACTCCAAGTGAAATTACAGCAAAAGAGGCTTCATATCAGTGGTCACATCATAGCATTTCATCCACGGACTCAAAACTTTAAAAACAAACGTCATCATTCATTCTAGAAGTTGAAGGGTTAAGTGTTGGGTCATATCAAACAATGCCTTATCGTTTAGTACACAAAGCTACCTGTGAATCGAAAGAAAACGGTACTAAAAAAAATTTTCCAAGTCGACGTACGCTAAAATCACTAATGGATCAGTTTGTTTTGATATCGACCAGTATCAATTAAACCTTTGTTTATTTATTTGTTGATTTATTTTGTTTTGAGGCATAAAATTTAAACGAACAGTAACAGAAAGTCTGGTTTGTGGTCAGTGTTAATCTTACTGAAGAACCCGACCATTTTTGACCACTTTTGCCCATAAAACTGCTTCAAACGGCGTGTATTGGACCATTATTTTCTGTGGTTTTTCTCCGATGGTCTTCGTCTCTTAGTCCAAACTTTTAGAACGTGACTATGAAACTGAAAAATATAAACCGCAAGAATTTTATGGGTACGCCTTGTTTTCTCCTTGTCTTTATGAAAAGGAAATTTTATGCTCGAGACAACAATGAGGAGTATAGTTTTCAAGAAGAGCTTCCGAAACGAAAGGACGAAAATAGGCTGTCTGTATAAAGAAAAATTGTTGTTGGAAGCTTTGTCATTCCCTATTCATTGAATAATTTAGACGCTGCTCCCTCACTTGGTGTATTACTTTACACTCTGTCTTTAAACGTACACGAGCGTCAAGAAAAATGAAAGTCAAAAAAGGAGACAAAGAAAGAAAGAAAGAAGAAAGGAACAGAGAAGAAGAGAGAGTGAGGGGGCGGGCCCAGGGGTACCACAAATGATTACCGATGTCGAATGATCACCGGGGCATAACCTCCCGGAAAAAATTTAAAATTAACTTAGAAATGTGGTGTCAGCGTTCTGGAGGAATTCAAAGTCTTGGAAAGGTGATGTGAATTGCGCAGTGCAAACAGAGGAATTACCTTGATTGGTCAAAATAAAGTCCAACATCCGAACCCCGAACTCTGAATTCCGATGTTCGATGACCAGTGTCCAACGTCCGACGCCCCAAGTCTGCTGTATGTAGACTGAGTATCAGGCCTTCCTTAGGGGTTAGAAAAGGGGAGATTTTAGAGGTCGTAAGGAGGATCTCTCCCCTTTTCGCTTGTCTCTTCCCCCTTCCCCTCAGGAACGCCTACAGGTCCTTATACCCAGGCACACGGCGCTGTCCGGATCCGATGTCTCCATGTCCAATGTCTATCCTCTGCTTTCGTGCTTAATCAAGCACTCATAAATCTTTGCACAGAAAAAAAAATAGGTCACTAACACTTCCCAGTTCTACACGTTCTAATTGGGAAAAAGGTAGGACCAGGAGCCCATAACCCTTGTAGGACAAATCAATTCAGTCGGTCATTTGATATCGTTAGGAGCCTATTACTGTACAATATCTTTGAGAGGACAGGATTGATTGACCTTATTACAAAAAAATTTAAGTCAATAGGTTTATTTTTTAAACATATGCTATCCTTTACTTTATTAGCCCAAGGTCAGTGAAAAAACCCTCCCTATTGCTTGGCCCTGGTCGGCTGGAGTGGCAGGAGTTTCCATGTAGCAGTACATCACAATGTATTTGTTTTTGCTAACGATGACCAGTAATGAACCAGGGCTCAACACTCCCAAATATGGAAATGCTCTATTCAACCGTTGTTCAACCGCCATTTTTGAAAGGAAATTTCTGCTCGTCGAAATTCGGTCCCTTTCATTTCCACGATTTCACATCACTTTTTGAAAAGAATACAGAGCAAATTTTACCGGATAAACTGGTCTTTTAGACGAAATGGATGTCGACAATTCTGGGAATTTGGACGCCTCAGATCATCAGAGTATTTCACATGAAGGTCAGTTCGTTTCTTGAGCAAGCTCGAAGCCTCTGTTTACAGGATAATTTTTTGTATAATCCGTGTTACTTTTTGTCTATTACATGACAGAAATAATTCATTTTAGTTCATGCAAAGTTAAAATTTCATCTATCAAAGGGATCGAGCCTAAAAACAAGTTTCGTACACATGTATTACATTTATAAGAAGGCGTACGTCTGCCAGTGGGCCTTGTTCAATAAATTTCCTGCGGGAATCCACTGAATTTGGCAGCCATTAATTCAATATATCCTGACATCCTGAAATAAACCGGCTTAAATAAGTCGTAATATTAATAATTAGATAAATTACAATTTCTAGGAAGCAGTAGCTCTACGATGGAAACTCGACTGTGTGTGGTGGGCAAAGAAAATGGCGAAAACGAAGAACTCATGCAAGCAGCAGAGGTAAAAGCAATAAAATATTTAATAAGTTCTTACCCTGGGAAATGTGGTTCCCTTACTTTTGTTGAAGAAGCTTATCGTGACGTTCTGTCGCCCCAATGACACATAGATAGGTACAGATAGATACAGATAGATAGATACATGTAGTTTATTAACAAATAATTACGTAGCAGCCAAAAGCTGAATTGAGTAATTAATACAATATCGAAATACAGTACAAGAAATATATATACCAAAAAATCAAAAAAGTAAATATCATTACATATCAGACCAGGGTTCTCATTGAGTACCGGCAGCTGGCTAAAAAACCGGCTACTTGGAGGTTTGAGCAATCTACTTTTTTGGGAAAAAGGGTAAAGTGAGAGAATGAAAGCCTGAAATTGCCTACAGCACTCAATTATCAAGTCGCATACTTTTACATCCTAGCACACTGTCTACTTTAAAACTTATATAAGAACCCTGTAAATCATACAGTTAAAAATTTGTCATAGAAAGTAAAAAGGATCGCCTAAAACAATAAGTGGTACTACAAATGGCATGGATTTAAAGGTAAGTGATTGGGCCCATTGGGGAACTAGTTGGCGAAGCTTGTGTGATGGAATGCACATGTCATTAAATAGCTTAGGGCAAGTGCTTCTCTCCGACTGCCCAGGCTACAGAGGTTGAAGTGACTGAGGTTGTCCTTATAGGTGCACTCAGGGCTGATAATATGAAAGGCCCTCTTCTGAACCCCCTCAACATAGTTTCAGGGCAGTCAATTTATCTATCATTATCCTGTCTGCATCTACTGTGAAAATGGTCAATTTTTTGTGATAAATAAAATCGTATCACTTTCTTTGCAGGCCTTGAAGATTCCAGTAACCGTTTCAGAAAATATTAAGGAAGCATTGCAATCACAAACTGATAATGTTGAAATAGTATTTGTGTGTGAACCTTTTGAAGGAGAAAATTTTGAACTTTTACGCAAAGAAGAGCATAGAATCATTGGACCACCAATTGTATATGCATGTGCCAGAGAAGACCAGCCTTTACCGTATAATTCAAGGCCACTTTACTGTACAATCATGTGTAATAACATCGTATGCTTCACTGGATTTCGTAAAAAGGAAGAACTTGGAAGGCTTTGTAATCTTGTTCATCATATGGGTGGCAGTATAAGGAGAGAGTTTAGTGGAAGGGTCACACAGCTTGTTGCCAACTCAATACATGGACAGAAATACAGAGTAAGTAATATTACTGTAACTGTAGTAATATCATGGGTGACAAATAACTCCTTAATTTTGGCGGGAAATAAATATATTATATAACATGTGAAATTATTAAATTTCTTTGGCAACTCAGTGCCAAGATGGCGTTCAAGGTTTTAAAATATTATGAATGAAGATGTCAGGGCATTAAAAGATGGTTTAGAAAACCTATACTCACAAAAGAGCACATCAAGTAGGATTCCAACAGTTATTTTGTCGAAAATTCAGAAAATTTATGGTCTAAACTTTTCAGTGCATGGAGTTCTTGATACAATAAACAAGTAAAAAAAAAATAAACAGCAATAAATTGTGAGCATGATATGTCACCCTTGTTAAATATGTAACCACATGGTATGCTGAAATTAGGGACCATTTCACTCGCATTTTTTCCAAATTCTAATAATTTCCTGAGCCTATGAAATCTTCCTTTTTACATAGGAAGAACTAAACCATCCCTTCATTTTCATGAATCATTCAAGTCATCAGGTCTGTACTGTCACCAACCCAGGGCTCGAAAAAGACTTGAATTCCAGCAGCTTTCACATTTTGCTTGCCCAAGGCCATCGCTTGCTTGTCTTAGCTAATGATTTAGTCACTAGATGACTTGCCTGGAACCTCACTTGCCCTTTGGATAAATGAAAGTTAAAGAGATACCTACCCAACAAGGAAATCTACTTTTCCCAGATGACCGGACAGGGCTTTTTTTTTGAGCCCTGCAACCTCTTGTGGGTTTTTCCCCAATGGTCAGCAAAGCAATGATGAATCCCATTAAGGTGTTTTGAGTTCAGTTCCTTTCCAGGTCAAAGATTTTTTCTTTGCCTCGCAAGGTTCCCTGATTTCCTTTACCAAGACCAGTGAAGACAGGGGAGAGGAATGGGCAGTTTAATTTCTTTTCTCCCTATTTTTTTCCTTATTTTTCTCCCTCCTCCCTAATTTTTTCGGCTGTTTCTCCCTCCTCCCTGATTTTTCACCTTTCTCCCTGATAACTCTTTTAAGAGGCTTATTTTATTTGCTACTTCACCGCAGTGCCTCGTTTCCATAATTATGTCTTAAAACATCTGAAGACTAATGCTCAGAAGGTTTTACGGTTCATCTCTTGCACTTAGATTTACACTTCAGAGTTAACTTTATTTCCTATCCTTTGTGTCATAGTGCTATATACATTAATATGCACCCTTCCCTAACATTTTCTCCCTCCCAACAGACTGCCGTAAGTTTGGGGACTATGATTATGACAGAAGAATGGGTAACAAGGTGCTGGGAAAGACGTAATGAGCTGTAAGTAATTTGAAAAGTATCCTGTACACTGCCAAGATCAGCAAAAATGTCAAAAAATTCTGGTGTTTTTTCATGGTACTTAACACATATAATTTTATCATTTATATGAACGTGTAGTACATAACTTAATTTTAAATGGAATTGTTTTTTTAGGGGAGCAACTGCAATGGATGAAGGAATGGTGAGTTTGTTTGTTTTTTCTCCCTTTAATTAACAAGAAGGTAGGGTAAAATTGAAAGTGCCCTTGGTGACTCAATACCAGTTATTATTGTAAGCTGTGTGCATGTATTTCGCCTTAACTCTCTGGTATCAAAGATGTACAGTTCATGACCAATTTGAGTGATTTTATTAAAAATTCAGTACTGTAATTATTTTGTTCAGGGAAAGTACAAGATGATGCCATTTCACGGGTGTTATCTCAGTTTTCATGGATTCCCGGAAGAGGAGAAGAAACACATGGAAGAATCTACGGAGAAGCAAGGTAAGAATTTTAACTCCATTTACAGTGAAATGCATTAGGTCTGGTGGTCCCAAAATTAAGTGCAGAACACCCTGTTTAAGTCTGTATTAAGTGGACATGATCATCAGTGGGTCATTAACCATTCAAATATTATTTTTCTGTTAAATGAACCTGTATGCTCGCTACAGTTGGGGTTATTAATCCCATACTCTTCTGTTTGGATTATTTGCTTTTACTAGTGGAATGTGGAATGTCCCTTAATTCATTGCTGAAGTAGCCTGAGAAAACATCAGCCAATGTTCAGTTTGCCACACCACCATTGGTTTCCCCACAAAATGACATCTAAGGAAAAAGTGCAGAAATTCCATACTGATGACGACTCATCACTAACCAGATCTGGGGAAATATGACTTAGCTCAGAATTTCAATACTGATGACACATCACTAACCAGATCTGGGGAAATACAGTAGTGCAGAAATTCCATACTGATGACCCATCACTACCCAGATGTGATCATTGCTTCTATAGTGATGCATCAAATTTAGTATGGAATTTCAGCCCCCTTTCTTCAGACACCATTTTGCTGGGAAACCAGTGGTGATGTCACTAAATGTTTGCTGTTTTCTCAGGTCACAGCTGAAGCAGAAATGCACTTTCACTGTAAAAAACCCATTTACCCACCATTTTTGTTTTCATGGTGGCATTTTGTCATGAAACAACCATAGCCATGTAGGACACTCTTAATTTCTTTTCCAAGGACCCTCAACTGAAATGTTGCAATGTTTTGTGTTTAAGGTGGAGTTCCTGTGGAAGCTAGTGACCCTCGCTGCACTCACCTGGTTGTAGAAGACAGTGTCAAAGAACTTCCAAGTGGTTTGCTAGAGCAATCACATTGCCAGGTCGTCAAGCAAGAGGTAAGCTTCTAGATGGAATCCTCCAGGAAATTGAGTAATTTTAATTGATTTCTCAGTGGACAAAAACCTTGTACAAGAATGATTTAAAGAATACTGCATTCTTTTTAACATTTTTCAAGGCCTAAAGATGTAATTAGCCTTCTGTAATAACACCAAAGATAATTTCTTATGGGAGCCCGAGAAAATGATGTCAAATTTCACAAGAATTGTGATTACACAGGTAAAATTCTGAAAATTTCATGTGTAAGATGTAATTCTGTGAAATGTGACATTCATGTTCTCGGGCTCCCATGAGAAATTTTCTTTGGTGTTACTAAAGATGATTAATTACATCTTTAGCCCTTGAAAAATGTAAGGAAGAATTCAATATTCTTTAAATTATTCTGGTACAAGGTTTTTGTCCACTGAAAATTAAAATTACCCAATTTCCTGGTGGATTCCGTCTTAAGCTTTAACAACATGCTACAGTTAAACCTATTTTAAGTGGCCACTCTCTGTTGAGCAGTCAGTAATCAAAGTGCTGAAATGATTGTAAAAGGGAATGGTAAATTGAACCTCTATTAAGAAGCCATGAAGGCAGGAACCAAGCACTTGATACACTCGGTTTGGCTTTATTTTAAGAATATGATGAAGGAAAATACAACCAATTGTGGACCAGACATGCTGCCCCAATCGCATGCTTGTTTCAAAATAAAGTGATGTTTCTGGTAAATATTATGCTTATTTATGATGCACCTCTATTGAAACTAAATGGTTGAAATTAACAATATCCGGTCATTACAATCAATAATTATGATAAGAAAGCATTGCCTTCCTTATTTACTAATTATTAAATTTATTATTTTTTGTTGAAAGAGCAGTACGAAGACACATTTCAATAAGCGTGAGTAGTGTCTTACCTTGCTGTTAATCATGATTTGTGTCTTTTTTTTTCAATTTCAGTGGTTTTGGGCAAGCATTCACATGGATGCATGTGCTGATGAGTCACTGTATCACTTCACTGCTACAGTAGGTCATAGAAATTTTAACAAAGCTGTGCACCTGGGGGGACAGGATAGGTCAGGGTTCCAGGGGGCGGGGAGGGGGTACTCGGGAAGGCATCGCCCCAAGGTCCAACCTCCTACCCTTTTATATACCATTTTTGACAGAGAGGGTAGTACCCCTTTTGTATTCCTTCCACTGGCAAATGTTACCACTAGTATAGAACTTTGCACCCCTTTCAACAGCTGTAAATGAATTGTCTTTTACATATGATTATTAATCACAAACCCAGGAAATTTTCTTGATTTTCTCACAGCCATAAAATCCTTCTGCTAGACTTTTTAGTTTGAGGTCCTCTACAGAGCAAAATGACAGATTTCCCTACCCTTTCCAATACTTCAACTAGTGAAATCCCTATCCTTTCATTTACCTGAAAAAAGTACCCCTTTAGGTAGAGCCTTCCCGTATTGGCTATTATGGGGAACTCCTCCCTCCAGGTCATGGTGTGTGCTTCCCAGGTTTCTAAACCTTATCCTATTTAGGGATGATAAAAAGGGAAACTAATACCCTGTTCAATACTCCTAATACTCTATTGGATACTTCAGTTTTAACTGACGATTGGTTTCCTATACAGCCAGGCAAATAGACACTTGAATTTTATCTGAAGCCTGATACAGTTATGTACATACCGTACAGCTGCTATATCTATGGATCACACCAGGAACACAATGTCAACAAGGGCAAAAATGATACCCTAATTAAGAATAGAGACCCTCAAAAAAACCATACCCTATCAGGCAACACATACTAGTCTACATATGGCATTACCCCCTCCCCCTGGGCAGTGGTCCAACAAAAATACCGGTAATGTCGGAAATAATTCTTAATACATGATAAAAAAAAACTGATCAAAATTTATTCATTCTAAGGATCCTTCTGAGCCTGCTACGATGCACAACACACCAGTCAGCAGTCGCAAGAGGAAACGCCGCAAACTTAAGGACTCAGACCTTAGTGATCTGCTTTCCCCAGACTCCCCTCTTTTCCATCCAAAGCGTAAGAGTGGTGACCTGTTGTCAGTGTCTGGATCTCTTCTGGAAAATTCCTTGGTGTCACCTGCCACACCCAAAGGTACTGTATGACCTGGGGTCCTTAAAATGTACACCAACCATCCAGTTGAAAATCTTGTACTTAAAAATAAAACTATTAAATTTAACAGTGTCGAAGAATAACCTGCTACAAAGTGTATCCAGATCAGGTGGGGAGACCAAAAAGAGTTGAGATATAGCACAGCGTGCAAAGAAAGTAGTGTCCGACAGCCTGGGGCTAGTGAATTTTGTTATCGGGCTACTTAATTCTGTTTTTAACTTGCCCGACGGGCAAGTGATGTTTTTTTGAGGAATTCGAATAAGAGAAGAACTGTGAAATCAATTCTGCTCGTCAAAAAGCTTTTGGGGCTAGCGGAAATGACGTTTGGGCTAGTAACTGCTAGCTTCAGCTTGCCCAAAGGGCAAGCTGTAAAAATGATTTTCTTTGCACGCTGTAGCATCAACTCAAATCACATTCCTTATTTTCTAAAGCTTCTTAAATGGAATGGCATGTACAAACCATTTGATTTTCCAACCTGAATTTCTGGTTTTCCCATGTAAATGGCAAGTTACCCAGGGCCACATTGTTCAAAGCTGGGTTAAGATAACCCAAGGTTAGGGCAAAATTTAATAGAAGTCAGATATGAAAGCTTAAAAAGCAAATTCAGTTTACTTTTTACATATAATTTGTTAACTGAAACTGCTGTAGCATCTTCAGACACTTACGGGGAACCTTGTTGTAAAGATTTCTCTTTCATTTCCATAATTATGGTTTATTTTCTCCCTCTAGAAACTCCAAGTGGAACCATCTCACCGTTGACCACACCCATAGCTCCACCCCCTAAGCCTCTCACATCACGACAGCAGGTGGCCATGGAGCTGCTACAAACAGAAAGAAACTATGTGGAAATACTTACTAACATTCTAAAGGTGAATGGAACACAATTTCACAATGTTGTTTTCATATTCTTTTCAAACATTAATATTATGTTACTGACTTGCTAGCTCAGTTAGTTACTTACCAGACTGCAAAGCGGCAGGCCCGGGTTCAATCCCTGACCAGGCTCCGGTTGTTCAAACGTTGGATAGCGCTATTCACAGGATAAAACACTATCCAGCGGATTTAAGTGTCGGGAAAATCACTTGCGTAATCCACTGGATAGAAATTTATCCGGTGGATAGCGTTATCCACCTTTCGAACACTGGGCCCAGGCCAAGACTCAGAGACAGACACTCAGAGACAGTTGCTACCCCGGTGTCACTGCTCATTTTGGTTTGTTTAAAAATTAAGAAAAACCTCTGGGACTAGGGCCTCAGGATATTTTTACCCAATGTCAAGGTGTCTATCGATCGCTTATTTTATAGCCTTGAGTCTTGGAAAAAGTTTGGAAAACGTTTATGAACTCTGTTAATGGTAATAGTTAAGCACCTAAGTTGTGACTGTTCATTGTATGTGTATATTGTAGGTGTTCAAAGAGCCACTAGAAAAAGAACCATGTGGTGGATCCATCATCTCGGCTGAGGACATAAAGACGATCTTTGGTCGGTTACCAGGCATCTTGGAGGTTCACAATAAAATCATGGTGAGACAATTACCTTAGCAACTCTTCAGAGACTCCCAGGGGTGGGTGGCCTGTGACATTTCTAACCCAAGCACGAACAATAAGGACCCTCCTCAAACTCGCTAGTTTCGTACCTTCTGCCTTTAACTCAGTGCTCACTTAATTCAAAAGTTGATGTTTTGCACGATCGCAGTGCATCTGATCATGTTTGATTTCATTCTTTACTGCAGAATGAACTTGAAGCTCTGTTGAATGAATGGAGAGAGGATAAATGCATCGGGAATATTATTAGTAATCACGTAAGTTTGTAAATAGTTAATGCAGTGCCAGTCCGATGTTCTATCCACCACTTCTTCTAGGTGGCTACTCTTCCGAAATAACATAATTTCCCCAGTCAAATCACTATACTTCTGCTTCTTACAAGCGAGTCAACCTCGTTACCAGGGTCCTCCCCTACTCGTCCCCTCTCTTTCGCTCCGTGGGCAAGTAGTATAGAGGTAACAAATACAAAGATTATGCGAACATTTTTTGGTGTCCCTTGAATAGAAGTGTCCTTTGAATAGAGGTGTCCCAAAGGAGAGGCTCCACTGTATCCTTGTCTTGAACTCCATGTATGTTTTCTGTCTTTTGACTAATGTAGGCGGATGAATTAGTTAAGGTCTATCCACCATTCGTCAACTACTTTGAGATGACAAAGGAGACTGTAGCGAGATGTGATCGAGAATTCCCAAGATTTCACGCCTTTCTTAAGGTAAATTTTCTTCCTTTTCCTTGATGAACTTTTTAGAAAACGACCTTTTCTTGCCCAGTCATTCCACTAAGCCCCCCACCCCCAAAAGTCACGGTTTAAATTGTTACTCCAAAGAATCATTTAATGTAAACGGAATTCTTTGAGGACAACTGTTTATCAGCAGATTGCAGAAATTTAACTCAAAGGTTCGATTTAAGATAAGTGATAAATATAAAGTGATTAAAGTCCTGGTTTAGGTCCCTTACAGTCATGGCATGTTAGAGGAAATGACATGAATTTCCAAGAATTGATAAGCTCCTCCCGTCTCATTTCAAAAATTACAGTTGACTCCCGAAAAACGAACTTCCGGCTATTTTCTTCGAGCTCCCGATAACTCGAACTTTTTTCGATTTCCCTTGAAGGTTCGAGTCATCGGGAGTCGACTGTATAGGAAAGAGAAGCCTAACCCCCCCCCCCCCCCCCCCCCCCCCCCCAGCCCCATCTGGGGGGGTATCTTAAAAACACCACACCCCCTCCCCGGACCAAGAAGAGGTAAAAAAAAAAGTATATCTTCTCGTTTTGTCTTTTTTCCTTTTTTTTTCAATCACACCGTCCTATCATCAAAGAAAACAACCCCACCCCCCCCACCACAACCCCCCCTATTCCCCCCCCCCCCTTTCTTATAAGGCGAATCCCGGATCCCGAAAACATATTGGGGACCCTCGTATTATAACACTGAGGCACCGACCCATCTGCTCACTGGCGATTCTTTTGGAATTGATCATCTTTTAACCAGGCATGTCTCAGCAGACCAGAATGCGGAAGACAGAGCTTGGCTGAACTACTGATCAGACCTGTACAAAGACTTCCAAGCATGAATCTACTTCTTTCAGGTTTGCATTACTCTTGGTACCGATTAAACTAGAACCAACCTACTTCTTTTAGGTCTGCCTTTGCACTTGTACCAATTATGGACCTTTAGATTGTAGGACGAGGTCGACTATGAGAACAGATTTTCTCAGTACTAATTAGCGCGCGCTCGCGAACCAGCGTCATTTTGGCGGGAAAACGTGATAGCCGTCGTAATTCTATTATGGTTGTTAACGAAATGTCGTAGTGACGGGAACAAGTCATCTTTTGATCAAATTTTAGAAGTTTAATCACTTTGTGACCTGGCCTCCTTCAATAAAAAAACCCCAAGTTAAATCTCGTCCTCGAATTTAAAGCTCTCTATTAAACATGATCCAACATTGCAGCCCAAAACAACAGTATGAAAACCTGACAATGCCGGTCGAGTATTGAAAGGAGCCTGTCAGATGAAATAATTCTTGGAAATATTTAAAACGAAATATGTCCTAATTTTTTCGCTAAGTACGGCGATAAATCCAAATTACTGTCACGTTTATTTCTCGTCGTGAGTTTGAGAAGGTTAACTAATGGCTGTTAGATTTTGCTTTGACATTTTTTCACAACTCTCTCTCATACAGATCTTCTGAAGCACACAGACAAGAAAAATCCCGACCACACAGCTCTTGGCCTGGCAGTGGACTCGCTCAAGAACGTTATGACGTAAGGCGCTTTCTTGTGCTATTTTTAACATTTGCAGGCCTGCAAATAATTTTTGTTTTTATAAAGGACATACCTTCATGAGGGTCACCGTTTTAGTCCGCGGACAAACCGAAACTTTTTTTGGATATACATTCAGTGTCAACTTTTAATTTCTGTAAAGGCCCACGTTCGATATATTTTAATTCTAACATGACTCCGGTACTTTCTGGTCATTTTTCTATATTTGGTTTGGTTTTCTTTGTCCTCAATTCTCTTTTGGGAATTGCGAGACAATGGAGTCGTGAAAAATTTGCAATTTTGACCCTAAAGCCTCGGAGTCATGTTAGAATTTTAATAACGAACGTGGGCTATTCCCATGAAATTTTCAGCTACAAAATTAGATGTGGAGGATTTCGTCGGACCAGGACAACTTAAGTTATTGTACCCTGTCCAATCACGGCGTTGCCAGCCAATCCATTGAACCCATCAGAGGTCGCAGCGAATACCCGTGGCTGGCAAAAAGCGCGGGAAAATATGAGAGTGTGATTGGGTGTTTAATAACCACTTACCAAGCACAGTGGTAAAAAGCCAAAGAAAAGCTGATATTTTAATGTCTGATTGTACCTTTCTGCATTTAAGACGTTACTCATTTTTTCTCTGTTTGCCATTTCTTCTTTCAGTCACATAAATGAAGACAAAAGGAAAACAGAAGGGCAGGTTCAAATGTTCGAGATTCTGAGAGACGTTGATGGGTGCCCTGTAAGTATTTTTGGCCAGAAACCGGTCTTTTCGATACAAAGTCGTTTTGATACCAGTCATTTCGATACAAAGTCGTTTCGTAACGAGTCATTTCGAAACAAAGTCGTTTTGATACAAGTTATTTCGATACAAAGTCGTTGCGTTACAAGTCGACTCGATACGGATTTAAACAATGAAACTGCACAACAATTTCTATCACTTAAAGGGCCTATGTCACGCTATTTGCTTTATGTTTAAAAAGTTTTAACACTTTCCTCGCATCAATTGAATTTCAAAAATAATGGCCCAGTTTTGTTATTTAAGACTATGTTTAGGCATTAAAACTGTTTCCTGTCGTCTCTTGCCAAGGATGGACACAGATTGAGACTTGAAAAAGTTGGGCCAATCTTTTCAAGTTTTAATGTAATGCCTGATGAAATTTTCTCAATTACTGTACATCTACTCTGTATGGGTAAAGGCAATAAGAAATTACTTCAAGGCAGCAATATCCTCGTGACGTAGCCCCTTAACCCTTTAAACCCTGAGATCAAAATTTGAATTCTCATTCGTTGCCCTTATTCATTTCCTACCGAAGTAGTGGGGAGAATTTGACAAAATATCAAGCAAATTCATCTTGTGTGATCATGTCCGTAATTCTCATGACCACTCTGTTTTACAAAGAATTGATATTACAAGGAGAAATTTGATGCTGATCACTCTTAGGGCTCCGTAAGCAAGAAAAACAATGGGGTGAATATACTTCGCTCTAAGGAAGCCAAGTTCGTAAAACTGTTAACACCTCGACTGAAACAACTTTCATCGAAACGATTTGTATCGAAACGAGTTTTTTGCCCATGGAGATGCAATCGTCAGATGAATCTATTGTATAGCAAGTGTTCAGGTGACCTCCCTCTCCGTCATCGTATCTTATTTCTCCTCACCCAACCTCTAAGGATGTTCCGATACTCAGGTTATACTATTTACCGCTTCTATTCCTAGGCATATGTTCTATCATCGCATCGTGTTTATGTAACAAAAGCTGACACGTTTGAGTTGAGTGACACGATCTGCGGCAAAGGAGAGGCTGTGACCATATTCCTGTTCAGTGATAGCATGGAGGTGCGGATAAATCAGTTGGTTAAATTCGCTTTTGATCACATACCTTATTTACTCGAATAAGCGCTTAATCAATTTTCACGCCTTAAGTGAGGCGCTTATTCGAGGGCGGCGTTTATATGAAAGTTTTACGTGAAAAAGAATTGTATTATTAAACTTCGGTATTATGATTTTCCGTATTAAACTGAGAGAATTATCGCCTTCTGATTTTGATTATATCAGGACCACGGCGCTTATTAACTTCTTTCTTCCAAATGCGGCGCTTATTCCAGTAAATACAGTGAACAGGCCCGACAATGCATTTACCAAGGTATTTTCTAACGCAATCCGCGTCTTCTCTGGTTTTATGTTGCAAAGCCTTGCGAGATTGGTATAAAAAAATCTCTCCTCTTTGTTAATCAACCAATAGCCTCCCACGCAGACGTTTTCAGGGCTTCGTCACGCGTTCCTTACCACACGTCGCTGACACGTTGGGGGAGGATTTCGTGACGAGTCAAAGGAACGTCTGCGTGGGTGGCTACACGTCGCATATTGTTGTTTGGTTTGATGCAAAGCTCAAAGAGTGAACTTAGTATATTTGGTTTACAATGCCCCACTGGGTATCCCTTTGAATTTGTAACTTCTTACTTTCTTCCTTCCTTTCTTTTTTATTCTTCTTTTTTTCTTTGGTAGGTTACAAAACGACGAGGCTTAAAAATGATGAATAACGTTCCTTTACCCATGAAAAGTCCGGCAGCTCGCACACCACAAAAGGCGTATAAGCACGTGAAATTCATGCCGCTGTCACATGTCAGACGCGTGGTGGACATCCGGGATAATGAAGGTATGTAGTGCATTATGAACTACGTGTTAGTAGACAGACTGCGAAAAAAGGGCAAGTAATTTAACCAGTCACTACACACCCCTGTATACACCTATTTTTCGTGAGTTTTTGCAAGCGACAAGGTTGCTTTGCGCGCCCACTTTCATTTTGATTTGTTTCTTATTCGACATTCTAGTTTAAAAAACGTAGACGCGCCGCACGAACATTCGTCGGTGCTAAACCCGATGTTTTGTAACCGAGTAACAAGGAGTATTACTTGTTTTACTTTTCATTTGTTCACCTGGCTCCAGTTATTCAAAAGCTGGATAGCGCTATCGACCGGGGGTGCTTACCATTTGACAGAAAAATCCGGTTGGGGTGTCGAAAGCATAATGGTAAGCGATTTACCAGTTTACCGTAGAAATGCCACATCCGTTAGGGTTTGAATTCAAAAAAAAGGGCAAATTTGTGTAGCGTGAGTCTGGAACCGAGAAGGAACAAGAAATTGGTTAATGGTAAGCAACATTCCGTTTGGTTCGTACCAACCGGAATGAAGGGACTACCTCAAAACGTACTCCTCAATTTTCGGTTGGAATTTCCGAAAAGTGACCTTACCATTTAGCTTCCATCCGGAATTTCCGACATTTTCTGTCAAATGGTAAGCATCCCGGATAGCTCGCTACATGTATCCAGCACATAAGTATCAGGAAAACCAATTGCGTATATCCAGTGGATAGCACCACGACATTCTCGCTAAAACCCGACGACTATCACGTTAATTATACCGCTAAAATGACGCTGGTTTACGCGCGCGCACTACTTAGTATTGAGTAAATCTCGACAACGACGATAATAATAATGATGATGATGACGGTGCTATTTTCTTTTTCCAACTGAAATTGACGTTTAGTATTTCATGGATTTTCTTTTGTATTGATCACCGTTGTTTGTTTTTTTTGCCCTACAGATTGTCAAAATTTGTTTGGAATCATCTACCGCTGCCCCCAGGAAATGAAAGAGAAATTGTTGATGTTTAGACTCGTAGGCGATGAGATAAACAAACAGGAATGGCTGCAAAAACTTACTACTGGACTGGCTAATACAGCGTGCACGGCTGATACGGTATGTACAGTGTTTACCCCTCTCACAGCAACAGCACGAAATACCTTAGAAACGAGAAGGGAACTGCAGCCGAAATACGTCCCGCAATCTGGGATCGTTACTCGGGGCGCGCCGGTACGACGGCGACGGTGACGGGAACGGGAAAAAAGCAATAGGCTTAGATTGGCAAAACAAGAGCAGTGCACGTACCTTACGCTTTTTTGTACTTTTCTCTGCCGTCGCTGCGGACTACAACCTTTTGCCGAGGGTGTGAACACAAGACAGCGACTTCCTTTTTCTTTTCCAGAACTCTGATACAGTCTTTTAGAAATTAACTCCATAAACATTTGCCAACATTTGACGAATTGAACGAGTTGGAATAAGCACGATAAAGTTTGAAGTAGCGCGAATTCACCTTTTAAGTGATGTTTTCGTAGCCCGTCGCCGTCGACGTTGCTTAAACTCCCTATTGGCTAATTTTTCCCCCTCTCCTTAAAAACAGGCCCACAAATCTTTGCCAAAGTTTTCTCGGCTCGGCCCGGTTTCCTACTCGTTTTTAAAGTGGCGAATGTGAATCAAAGGAGAAAGTACAACGCCCGAATATGGACTTATCTTTGTTCTTCCCATAGCGCCCTTTGCTGGACATCACGGTTTGTGTCTGTTGATCTGAGTTAAGTAAAAAAAATCACCAAAGACAAAAGTTTTGAAAAATTTCGAAAGTGATGGTTAAACCTAGGGTCATGATAAGCGGGAAAAGACCATAGAAAAAGTCACGGAATTTAAAGAGTTCAAAATACTACGAACCCTGCTGCAGCTCTTTCACGGTTATCTTTGATTCTAAAAACGTGTGAAAGTGTTTTAAAGTAATACTAAGAAATCGTGACATAGCTCCTTAAAGGTACTCTTTAAGGTCTCACCGTGCGGGAAATCAGTTGACGATGGCGCGCGCAAATCAATCCGTTGGCTTGACGAATGGCAGAACAGCAAATTGGGCACCGGAAGTCTCGTTCAATTCTTTCCGCGCGATTTCCGGTCGTCAAATGACTTTACCGCTTTGTTGTTAAATCAGCCCAATGGAAACGGGAAAATGAAAACTGGGAACAAAACAGAGAATTAGAAATGAAGTCACTGTCAGTGCTGGGGTTCAAGTTAGGTTTTGTTCCCAGTTTTCATTTTCCCGTTCCCCGCTGCCTTTCCTCCTTTCCCATACCGATTGAAAGCACAGGCGAGACAACATGACCTTTAAAGGAGCTGTGTCACGAAATTCAGCCAAATTAGGTAATTACAAAATGCACGTTAAATTAAGAAAAACGTAAAAATAACCGCTTAAAACATTAAAGGAAGATTAAAATAACACAACAGATGCCACGGATGGGCAAAACTGAGGAAGATTGAAACGGATTGAAATTAGGGTTTTTGAAAACTGTTCAGCTACCCTGCGAACAGAGTCTCCTTCGATCTTCCTAGATAAGTCGGGAAGTGGAAGGATGGAGACGGCTGTAGGAGCTGTTAAGTATAACTCGTACGAGGTTTAAGTTTAAAAAGACGCTGCAGTTAGTTTGGCAATGGCATCGTAGGTGACACAAACAGTCGTTTACATTTACAATCGCCCAACGTACTGCTTCGTTTTCACCCTTTCCTCTGGATTTGGAAGGTCTATAGGAACAATTTCACCTTTGGAATCTAAACTTTCCATGTTTCAGTGTAAAGAAGTTAAACTAATCTTAGAGCTAAGGTAAAACTTACGGAGCTTTTCAAAAACAAAGCATCTAACCTTGAAACACAGAAACACACAAAACGGATCGAAATCCACCAATCACAAATCACAAACTAAGACCTTTTGTTTCCTAAGAGGTTCGCTAAAATGTAAAGGCGAGAAAGGGAAGAAAGCGCCGCTTCTTCAGATTTTAATTGACGTCGTAGAAAAACACAAAATCCAAAGACGTTTTTGGCATCGCAGGTCGGGTGTTATCCACAAACAGCTGTAAAAGCATCGATCATTTAAATGCAACATGGATTCTGTAGCCTCATGATCTTATTTTGAATTAATGTCATAGCAAACACAAAAAAATAAGCACAGATATTGTTTCTTAAATATTTTCATTCAAAACCCATTTGTTGATCCTTCCAAGAACGTCACGTAACACTTACTGGATTGTGGATCCGTTCACCCAAGTAAAATCGGCTAAGTACATGGTTAAATCCATCTCGAACCTGGAGACACAAGTTTTCCAATTTTTCTAAAACTGAACGTTCAATCTATAATTTTCTCAAAATTCCTGCATGAAATTGAAGCGGCAGCTATTTGTTTTATTATGGAGCGTGGGCGCAGAAAGAGTCAGCAAAACTCCAGAATATGCGTGCGTGCACAGCTAAAACTGGTTTATCCAGTATAAAACTTGTCTGACTCATCCAAAAAGCTGGATGATCGGCAGATCAGAGGAACTTGAAGATGTCGGCAGAGTCGCTTCCTCTTTCCCGACTTACCTAGGAAAGATCGAAGCGACTCTGCTAGCAGGGTACTGTTCAGCCTATCAGTTTTTCAAAGTTGATCCCTGCTGTTTGCAACTTCAAAAATAATGCTCAAGAGACATTTGTTTGTCTCGAGTCTCCGATTTTGTCATTTTCACGTAATTTCTTTGCTTACTTTAAGTTCCATAGCGATTGAGGGCAAGTAATTGGCGAAATGTAACAAAATGAACTGGACTGCCGTGATACAGCCCCATTAAATTTTTTTGGACAAAATATCGTTACTTTTCAGGAAAACTTTCTGACCACCGTCGACCCACAGGAATTGATGTTAAGCAAAAGCGACATGTCAAACGGAACTCTCAGTCGCGCTGTCAGGTAAAGACTGAGTGCGTTTTTGTCAAGTAGGATTGTTGAATACTGCTCCCCCTTTCTTTACTTGTATCAGTTTCTTGGTTAGAACGTGCAATTCTTGTACTACTCTGAGATAACTAGGGGCTGAACAGATCTTTGTAAAACACTCCTAGTTAATATCATTTATAAGAATCAAATTGCAAGAAAATATCCACATTTGATTCAAGAATTACCACTAGAGAAAAGAATTAGTTGTGAGTTTAAACACCGCATTAACGGCAAATCACAGAGATGGCCACGTGACCATTTTTCGCTCTGTATATTACGCTAGTTGACAATTTCGTTTCCGAGGTCCTCTCTCTCAAAATCGAAGGGGTTGCTTGTTGTTGTTTTCAACGTGAAGGGATTATTTTCACGCTCATGGGTGAGATTTCTTCCCATCGCTCTCGGAGACATTGGCAATCGTAAGATCATCTCTACCGTTTTCTGTATACCAGAATTGCTTAAGAACACTTGTCACTTGAATGGCCAGGTGTTAAGTTTTCTCATTTCTCTCAACACAGGGTCGCGAAAAGAACAACAAGAAAAGTCAGCAGGGCTTTATCTATGAATAAGACTCCGAAAAAAGCTGGACGTCTTCGACGGACGACTTCCAGGTATTTAGCATGTTTTATCCCAAACTAGAGTAGCAGGTTTGATAAAAGGTTTTTTTTTTCGCAAAACTGGGCCAACGGTTTTGAAAAACAGGCTTTCCCGCTGCACTTTCCATTCAGCCGAAATATCCGTTTCAGACGAATGAAATGCAAAAGAAACTCTTGCTTCAACTGAACATTTTTGTTGATTTTACCCTAGTTGAAATTATTTGGCAGACGTCCTAGCGTTTTCGTTGATAGCTCAGTTGCTCCTAAGAGAAATTTATTTTCTGGTAGTAAAAGGCAATAAGTTATATTCTGGTTTCCATTCAATTTTTGCTCTTTTACTCCTCCTTTGTTGCCTTCCTTGCCTAGTCCCTAGGCCTATGCGTTTCTGGTAACGTGGTCCGAGCGAGTGTTTTTCAGACTTTTCGTCTCGGATACGTCAGTTACCGAAGTGCATTAGCCGAGAAGGCCTGGGGAGACGCCGTACAGTAGACTAGGCAATAGGCGAATCTTTGCTGACGTCATTGTTTACTTTTTTCCTCATTAGCATACGACTTAACTCATAGAAGCCGTGGCCGTATATATGAATTAAATACAAAAGTCGAAAGAGCTGATGAAGTTGGGAATTTGTGCAATTTTCAGCTCTTTGCGAGCAATATTGAAAGAAATATCAGCTACCAAAAACTGCGAAATTGCTGTGTGGCAAAAAAGTGAATTAGGCATACATTCTCTGTAAAGTTTCGAGTTTTTAGAAGAGAATTTCTCCGAAACCATTCGGGGTATTGGGCTCAAATTTTTAGAGATAACTGAAACTGTCATGCCCTTTCAATATTCAGAGTTTTTATTTTATTAGCATCATCAGACAGTGATAAGCATATGTTAATGTGGCAAAAAGTGTAAACAAAGATTCGCCTATAGAGAGGTTAAGTATCACGTTTACGTCAAACGGGAAACGCGAATTTGTACCACGTGACCAAGTTTCCCCGTTATACGTAGTTTACTGTTCATTATTTCTACACATATATTAGTAGTTTCACGCAATTTTTTATCCATAAGAATTGTTTTGAGCTGTTTTTATGTGCTCATTTTCTATTTTGAGAAATTTGCCGTATACGTGAAGCTTAAACTCGCTAGTGGCTTTCCTACATCTTATTTGCGAAAGAAGCTATTCCGATGAAGATCTTTTCTTTGAGCAACAATGATTTTTTTCGTCTCTGTTTTATAGTGTTTCGCCAGGTATTCGTCGAGTTCCTAGTGCCAGCCCTCTTGTGCCCTCCAGTCGTATTAATCAAGGCTGCCTCAAAGGGACCAGGCCGAGATCAACAAGTGTCCCAGGAGCAGAGCCTATGAGCCCGTAAGGAATTAGTCAGCGTCATTCTCAAGCCGCGGAAAAAGTTGGTGCTCTGTTTTGTTCTTGATCACCTGACATTATCTTTACAATCCTACATTTTGGCGGGAAACTGCATCGAAGAGGTTTGGATGTCAGAGAGGGCTGCAATGGCTTTCTTGACTTTTTTTTAATGGGACTCAAGAATTTGAAATAAAATACAGCTTTTGCTTTGGAAAATTCCAGTAAAAATGAAGGCAACTTTGCGTGACTTTTAAAAATATCATGGGAACTTCGTTAAGTTGCGACAGGCTGCGGGAGATTATTCAGCCAATTAACTCTATTACTCCTATCACTGGATAATCTTGAAATTCATGGAATTTTATTTGGATAGATTACTTAAAATCAAATATTATCACATGCAAGTATTATACTAAACTGGCAGGCACATCAAAAATATAGGAGACGACATTCACCATTTTCACATTGTTCACTATACACTTTGTATAACCCCATATTTTGCATAACCCTATTCTTCAGTTCCTCCTGGGTATTGTAGCCGTCTCAAGAGAATTTGAAGACAATGCTTTCAAGGGAGGAGGAGGGATAATAAACAAGGTGCATTATGGGCAATATAAAAATGGTGAATAGACAATGAACACGCGAGAGAAGGACCGCGCGCATTCTTTTGCCTCGCGGCCCGTTATTATTTGCGCTCCTAATTTCTCATGCGCCTGCAACAGATACTAGTTCTAATTGGTCCATTTCTTATTTCCGGATGCTGTGATTGTGATATACCAGACTGCAATGCGAGTAATTATAAGGAGACTTCGCATTGTACTTGTACTTCGGTTGTTTTGGGGATTGCTTTCTTTTTTTCAGAAGTTCGGAGCAGGAAATTGTAGTTTAAAAATAAGAGAGATTCAGAGTTTTAGATTGAAGAAAATATACCTACATATGCTGAGCAATTCTGTAAATATCTGTTTAAAATAAGCGTTAATTATACATGATAATAAATCACACTTTGCGGGAGCAGGTTTTGTTGTAAATAACTTTTAACCCCTAAAATAAATGAAAAGTGCTGTTTTCAACATTATCGCTTATAATTATGCTTTACAAGATTATGGTTTCACCGAGGAAAAAACATGAAAAATGCAATGAAAGTCGTGTTAAGCCGCATGTCTGTTAGGCTGCGAGCGAGAGAGTTGAGAAACGAGGGCGGCAGCCCGAGAAGAAAAAAACTCCCCCATCTCTCGCCTTCAGTCACGCGCGTCGTCATTTGCGTGTCTCGGGCGTTTTGCCCGACGGACCAAGAATAAAGAGAGACTGCTCGTAGTCTACATGTCTGTTTACTCCAAGGGGGATGCTCCAACAGCGGGTTCTCCGCTGACCATGTGACCGTCACGTGCCCTGGAGCATTGCCCGTCTGTGCACACTGGGTAATCCGCTGGGCAGCAGTAAGTCGGCACCGCTGGCGGGGGTGGACAGCAGACTTTGTATTGTTGCCTGCAGCATTTGTTGTGCTCGCAGCAGTTCGCTTGAGGAAAGGGGCAACACAGTTGCTCATCAAACGTCTTTCCCTTGAATGTCAATGTACCTGTAGAAAAACAAGCAGGGTTGTTTAAAAAAATAAATGAAAGAAGATTTTATTTCTTAGAATAAACAGAATCTCATTTCGCTTTTTGTGACTATAACAGCCTGTAAAAGAGCCAAAATTTTAATGGGATGATGGAAAGTGAGCTTTCTCCCCGACGCACGTTCGTTCCTTGTTTCGTCTTTTCAGTCCAGTTTGGTACCAAGTCCTCTTTACTGCAATTCATTTACAGGGCCTATCTGACGAGAATGTTAACGACTTTAAGATGCCACGACGACGACGACAACGAGAACGTCAAAAAAGCATAGGTTGAATAGGCAAAACAACAAATCTGCCGTCACTGTGCGACTATTACGACGGGAAAATGCCTAATTTCACGTTGTATGGAGGAGGTAAACAAACGACAGCTAAATTTTCTTTCTCTTTCTGAACTTGAAAGAACGCAATTTCACTTTTTAAGCGACGTTTCCGCCGCCGTCGCTGTCGTAGGATCTTAAAGTTCTCTATTACTGTTTGAGGTCAATTCTGTCCTAAAATCGGATCATTTTACGTTTCTGGGAAACTGCCCACCTACCCCTCCCCTAAGCCAGCATTTTGCCCTAAGTGAGAACTAAGTGTTAATGTTGGCTTAGGGGAGGGGTCCCTAAAATCATTGCTTGGTGCATTTACCCATACTCAAATGCTCCTGTAGAGTTGTGAATAAGTTATCAAACACATTTGATAACCATAATAATTTTCTGGTGATTATTGCGGGCATAGCCGGCATTGAAACTTGAAAAGTTGCGGTAACGTTTGCAAGTTTCAATCAATTGCCATCCTTGTTATCTGTCGCAACAGAAGACTGGAAACAGTTCCAGTGCCTAAATACAGTACAAAACTGGACCATTATTTTTCAAATTCCATTGATGCGAAGACAAGTTCTAGCTTTTAAAAAAGGTGGCAATAAAATCTGCAGAGGATCACTCATCATTTGAATGGTCACACAACAGGATTTCATCCAGAGACTCAAACGTTAGCACTACATACTAAACAAATAGTACCATGTAAAAGTTTTGCTGAAGAGCTCTCATTTGAATGGTTACATGCACCATAGGATTTCACCCACAGACTCAGACGTTAGTACTACATACTAAATAAATTTGAATGGTCACACCATAGGATTTCATCCACAGACTCAAACGTTAGTACTACATACGAAGTAAATGGTACCATGTGAAAGAACTGGTGAAGAGGTTGTATTTGAATGGTCACACTAAAAGATTTTATCCACGCACTAAAGAGTTAGAGGGTAATCTAAATTCCACAACTTGATAATGGACTTGGAGTAAAAAGGCCTTTAGACAAGGAACTAACCGGAAGTAGAAGGATAATTTTACTTAACTTCTGCAGTTTGTTTTACCTTTGCAGCATGTCTGCTGTGCTTCGCTTGCGCAGCAAGATGACCCTTGAGCATCGCAAGGTTGAGGGTACGGTGCAGAGCAACCACATCCCTCTCTAACAACACCAGCGTCTTCCATGCACCGGGAAGTTGCCTGCTCCATGCACCATTTCGATACCGTCAGGTCATCTCCGGCTGCCTTCCAATACTGACGCCTTACAAGGGCTGCAAACGTGGTGAACTGAGCAAAACCAGGTCCACCGAGAGTGAAAGACATGTCAACCATAACATTCTGAACGGGACAGCAAAGGCTGTCGAAGGTGGCGATAACCTTCCGGGCATCTGCTATTGCCGTCTTCAAACTGATGTCCAGCAGATCTTCGATTTGCTCTTCAGTGAGGCAAGGAACAGACGAACAGTTGCAAGGAACATTCCATTTGGTCACCGGTCCGTTTTCAAACTTTTTATAATCAGCTCCAATCTCTTTAAAAACCTCTGGTGCGTCCTTGTTCTGCATGTTGTATCCTACGCCAATGGTCTTGATGCCTTTTGTGTCAAGATACACGCAGGCCTTTTTGCCTTCATGCCTTATGATCAAAGGCTTTGGATCGCATTGCTGGGCTCGACAGCTATGGAAGAAAATAGCCAATTCAAAAATAATGAGAAGAATTTTTCCTTTGAACTCCATATTTCCGCTTCTCCCCTCTGATTAGAAACTGAAAGTTACCTGTGTAACACGATCTGTTATAGTGAATTTAATTAATGTCACGTGAGGGGTTGAAAAATGACACCTTTAATTTGCTGTTGAAGCGGGTCCTCGTTGTTTCCGGGTTCCTGCCTTAGGCCCGTTTCAAACGTCGTGCTACTGCCGTGCCGAACTCAATTGATCGAATTAAATTCGACTTTAGCACGGCAGTAGCGCGACGTTTGAAACCAAGTCGTGCTACTTGGTTTCAAACGTCGTGCTACCGCCGTGCCAAACTCAATTCATAAATTATAAATACATTAAAATATATTTAAAAGTTTGCTAAACCGTTTTTTTATTATTGTGTTTTGTTTTTGGCAACAGCCGTTCCATTTGACTGTCATTGTGTGAATTAAATTCGACGTCTGAAACCAAGTCGTACTAGTGTCGTGCTGCAGTCGAGCTACAGTCCAGCCAGCTTAGCACGGCAGTAGCACGACGTTTGAAACAGGCCTTAGCAAGGCTTCACTGCCATAGTCTGCTACACAGCTGTTTTTAATGTCGTCACGCAACGCTCCTTTGAAACTGGGACTGCATTATTCTCCGTCTAAAGGCCACGGCTTTGAGACTGAGGAACAGACCATTCTCAACTGCATAGCTCTTCTCTGTTGTGCACCACTTTGGACGAGAAGAGCTCCGCATTGCCAAAAAGACGAAAGCTCTAGACTCGAAAATTGAAATCGAGAAGCCCTTGGGAAACTGGGAAAGAGGCTTACAACAGTTATAGTGCCCAGTCTCATCTCTACTGCTGTGCAGCAAATCACTGACCCAAATCTCTCAGTTCCCATTCTACTACTTTACTAGAGTGGCCCACCACGAAGTTTTACTTTGAATATTGTTCTGCCAAAATGGACTAATAAAAAAAATACACCCGCCTTTTCAAATGCCGATCAAAGCATTTTTCTCGTAGTAAGGCCACCCACCGTTTCACCTTTTATGTGGTTTGAGTGAAAACAAAACAAAACTTTGTGGAATTCGGCAAAGTTTTGTGTGTTTATATTTTGGGTGCGGCGTGTGAAAATGGTAGTGTTTATAGCTCTTCATAATGACGCATATTGTGTTTGCGGATATTATCTGTGAAAGAGGTGAAAAGTGACTTATGATGCAGTTATTCTGAACTGAACACAGAGTGGTTTCTGTTTACAAGAAATTTATTCAAGACGACCCTGAAGGCGAGGTGTGTAAGCCACGCTTGAGGTGATTTAACATTTGAATTTTAGCGCGAGCTACTGGAGGCATCCATGTGAAAAGTGAAAGTTGCCGTCGACTGATCGTAATTCCTTTGACCGGCCGTTCATTTGGCAGTTTAGTCAAGAAGTGAAATATGCAGATGATCGGCAAGGTTGTAGTATTATTCATCCTGTTCCAAGTTCCTGTAATAACTTCTGGTCGATTGTGCCATTTTGAAACTGAAATTTCAGCGTCGTTTTGGATTCGAAAACCTTGTATGTTCTTCTTTGGCAACGAAACTAAAATTATAAAGTACATTGGAAATGAACTGCGATTCGGAGAGGACGCTGGCTCGAAAGGGGCTTTTAGAGGATTAAAAGTGAATCTTAACAAGTTCTTTGAAAGCCCTTTGACGCTCTGGAACAAAAGTTGTGATTGTACTGAAGTACCATGTTTGAACGAACAACAATTGAACAATTTATTTGCTAACAGTTTGGAGCTGGTTCGCAAAGAAGTACCGACTAGATTTCGATATCTTCCTCGATTATGCTGTGCATTACAACAAGTTTTGGGAGAACTCGTTTTTAGATTGCAACCAGAAGACATCGCGAAATTGACGAGAATTGCCATAAAGGGAATTAACATTCACAATTGGACAACATGTGTCAGTAATGAACTCCGACAGACGGAGTGGTGCAAAACTTTTAAAGATAGATGTGATAACCTTATAGATCGTATTAAGAGAGGCTGTGATGGAAAACCAAGGGAAAAGAGAGATATTGATCTAAATATGACCACAGTATGCAGTTCGTCCTCGTGTTTTCAGGGTAAGAAGAAATCATTTAAATAGTTTCTACCTTTATGAGTACATAGCGTTGTTTACGACCGGTAGCGTTATATTAAATAAATTACTGTGGAATGCACCAGAAATGTCTTGGGGCGCGAAAACTTGAATTCCTTTTACTTTCATGTTATTTCTTCTTTATTTTTAGAACCCAAAATGATGTTTTAACGAAAACGAAAATGATCTTAGCGTAAGCAAAATCGATCATAGCTTTATAAGTGCTAGCTAGTGAACTAAGGAGATCAGTGAAGGCTTATTGTTTGTTCCTCTACGATATAAAATAATTAGCCATTTCACCAAAATTCAGTGAAGAAAAATTCTGGTTTATCCCAAATCATATTTTGCTTAAAGTACGCACTATTTTTATCGCCAAACTTTAAAAATCGATTTAATAAGCGCAAGTTTTGCTGGGGCCGAAGATGATAGATGCATATTGCTTAATCATAGCTTATATTAGAGCAAGGATATTTGCCCATTTTGTTAGCAAAGAATGCCAATCTTTCACCGAAAGTGATTAATGAATTGCAAACCATAAAAAAAGTGAAACAAGGTTTGACGTCCTATATTGATACGAGGCGACAGTGTATATAAAAAGCGTGGGATGTGTATGACTTAGAATAATTTATCTGAATTAAAAACAAAGCAAAATTGTAACAGGAACAAAGGCTTTCAAGGACAATTTAATTACATCGCTTTCGTGAACTTGAAGATTTGCATTTCGCTTGGCACGCGAAACAAACGTTTTACGAGATGTGCCGAGAGCAATTACAAAAAATATAATTGGAGTGTGAAGTAAATTTTTTTTCCAGTTTGTAGATTAGCGAATTATTACTTTCTGTGTGTGTTCACGGAACATCCATTGAGGCGAAGAAATACTGGGAGCATACTGATTCTTGCGGTAGCTTCATGCACACTTAATATGGGGTTTCAGTGCATTAACTTTAAAATTAACATTTTCTTTATTGGCGAGACAGGTACTGCGTTCTGTCAGTTTGGAAATGTTAACTCTGGATATTGATATTTTGGCAATTCATTAAATTAGAGGAAAATATCGACAGCTATCACCGGAGCTAAGACGTCAGGTGAGACGTTACATGGAAGCAAATCGTCTTCCTCAAATATACTGTATACATTATTCCTGACAATAGGCTCGCTTCAGAAACGTCAAGCGTAAAAACCAGACTGTCTGTCTTACACCAGTTTTTCTTTTTGTCAAATTTGCTAACAGGCGTTCGAGTTCGCCACCTACTTACTAGGCTCGCCAACCTCGTCCCCAGAGAAAAGCGCCCTGGGGACGAGGTTGTCGGCTCGCTGCTTTTTGCAAAACACCCTTAAACATTAACTTAGCAAGCGTTTCCTATCGAGTTATTGCGCGAAAGTTAAAGCGGAAGCGATAAAAAAGAAATTGCTCTCTTCCCAACCTTCTCGACGAACTCGCGCGGAAACGCTTGCTACGCAGGCTACATTAACTTACAATATTCAATAAAAATATCACACATAATATTTTACATTGATTAAACTTTTAAGTCCACGCGAAAAGAAAGGAACAGGAAAAGGAGAGGAAAGCGAAAAGAGCATCAATTGAGAAGTAGAGCACTGTATCTACTGACTGTTGCGCTGCATGCTTAGTACAGTCGAATCTCCCTATCAGCGACCACCAATGCGAAGATTTAGTGGTCGCTTTAGACGAGAGTTGGTGGCTTACACTTTTTTTATAAATAATAATGTTGTTTTTCCAACCTAGGCGGAATATTCTTATTTTCCTTTATCTTGAATTACTCTTAATTGTTAATTGTAGCTTATGGCATTTCTGTTTGAGAATGTATGGTGTTTCGATTACCAGGGTTCTTGTCGTTTAGTGAAAGGAATAATTTTCTGTATTTACAGATTTTCAATCACAAAATTGAGGCCTTTACAAATCTCAGTCTCGGGTTTATTCTTGAACTATTCTTAAAATTTCGCAACTTTCAGCCTCGATATTCTTATGAAAAATATTGTTATATAAAAAATAGAGTGTATGAAAATTGAACCACATGCAGTCTCCTCTGTTCAACGAATTACCGGAAGAGCGTTTCGAATTTCCATTCATCTTGACTGGCTTTTTTAACAGGCCAATCATGACGCAGTAGTCAAATCTTGGTACACAGGGGGGGGGGGGGGGGGGGGGGGAACAAAAATTTTGGGCCCCCTTTGGGGGGTGAGTGTAACCGCAGGGAAAAAAGTTATATGAATGCAAAGAAAGTTATCAATTTGTGCGTAAATGACTGGCCGCCTTCCGCTTGGAATATTGTGAATATGAGGTTTGTCTTTTTCTTTCTTCTTGGATGGTTGTGTGTTCGCACCGGGGGGGAGGAGGGGGGGTGGGGGGGGGGGGGGGGGGGGGGGGGGGGGGGGGGGGAGGGGCGGAAACAAGAATTTTGGCGCCCTTTTGCAGGATGTACTTAACCCAGAGTTAAAAAGTTTCGTCTGCGGCGTAGGCTAGGAAAATCTTTGTGCTTCGGATCTGTGGTCGCACATGGAGGTTCGACTGTGTAATTTTAAAGTAAACTAACACCTAAATGTCACAAATAATCTTGTTATTGCATAAATATTATTTTGTAGATGAGGGATCTGTTTCATCTTCATCTTTGGTGACTCTACAAAGAATATCTCTGTCGAGTATGGTTTCGTTGGCAGCCATGACTAGTTCACCGAATTTCTTGAAAAAGAGTGTCCAAGCGCTTGATACGAATTCATCTCCAACTAGTGGTTCACAGCAACCTTCACTTTCTTCGGTTTTATTCACCTCTTCTTCCCACGGGTCGTGGTCAAGGAAATCTTCCACTACACCAGCTGAGTCGAACGCTTTTTTACGAGAACTGTCACCATCTCCTTCCCTGTCTACTTACGTAACGCCTCTGATGGCTAAAGATCAAGAAGGAGGTGTAGTAACTACCACCTTTGGTTACAAGGCAAAGACCCCGCCCTTTTGGAAATCCTCTTTTTCTCTAACCAGCTCAACTGTTAGCGTTTCAGAAGGTTCACCTCTTGTTTCTTTGTCAGCGTCACAGAACACGTTTTTCAAAATTTCAACCGACGTTACTAGCGTGGTAGACACTGATTCTTATTCTTTCAAAGCAACTTCTCGTCTTCCGTTGATGGACAGCTTTAAGCCTACTTCTTTAAAGTATAGCAGGAGGCAAGCGGCGGAATCCTCGTCATACTCATTAATGGCATCAAAATCCACTGAATCGTTTACGTCATTTTTATCGTCGTCATCGTCTTCTTCGTCAGTATCCTTGTCATCGTTCGGATCATTATCGCTACCACCGCCATCATTGTTCTTATTATCACCATCATTGTCACCTTTATTGTTATTGTCGTCATCATTATCATCACCAACATTGATTACAACACTTCCCTCGCCCCTACCAACATCGGTACCCGCACAACTACAAATATCACGTATGTCTTTGTCGTCATCAACATTGACGTTTTATAATTCTAAAGCACCAAAATTTTTACCTTCTCCATCAAATTCACGAAAAGACACGTCATCCTCAACTTGGTTATTAATACCTGTAGTTAAAACTTATGCATCGTCATCGTCAGTTTTATTATTATCATTGTCATCATCAACAATACTATCTCCGTCTCCATCATCATCATCATCATCATCATCATCACATTCATCATCAACACCAACAACAACAATTGCGGAAATATACCCGGGAGCGGAAACAACATTATCTCCATCACTGTCATCAAAGTTATCATCTTATTTCCTTCATTCGTTGCCTTCGATAACTTCTTTACGAGTGAAATTAAGAACAACAGAAACAACCATATCGTCTTCTTCTCCACCTTTAACGTTTACTTTGGTTGATTCACAGTTGCCACCGTCCAGGTTTTCAGCGCCTTTACTAACGGCCAGAACATTTTCAAGTCAAAAATTGACGTCCAATTCTGTTACAATTAGTTATTTATCCACTTATGTTTCACTCTTTCCTACTACCAAGCCGTGGTCACAGACGTCTCTTACCTCAGCTCCTTCGCTTGTCTTTTCAAGTGCATCCCTGTTCAATAATTCTTCGTTGATCTCGAAACTATCTTTGGTAGCAGAATCATATTCCTCTTTGCAAGACAAGGCCAGTTATGTTTCTTTAAGTAGAACTGGTAGAATTGAGCTGAAACCTTCCAGTGCCGTTCCGACGTTCCAATTCTCTTCCTTAAAGCTAAGCACTTTAAAGCCTCTGTTTACTGAAACATTTGTTGTTAAATTTAAAGGTAATTGCAGCGTGATTGTTGACAAGAATTCCTTCAAACTCAGCTTTGTAGCGACACTGGCCAGTATACTGCGGATACCAAGAGATGACGTCATAGTTGATGACGTCATCTGTGGTTCAGTGAGTGTTGTTTTCACTGTCAAAGCTGCGCGTGAAAGAAACTTAACAAGTGAACTTTTGGGAATAATCAAGAACGAGTCATTGGTAGTGAAATATAATGATACGGTGTTTATAGCTTTCGACGTGAAGATTATCTCAAATCCAACTGTTCCAACGAAGTTTTCAAGGCCTACACAGATTTCCAGCCACGATAGAAAAAAGTTGTTGTTTATCATATTTATATTTTTTTGCGCTGTATTTGCGGCGTTATTTGTATTCTTCTCTGTGGTATTTTGTAGTAGGTTTTGCGGATGCTGTCAGAAAACTGGAAAATTCCGCATGCACAAGAGAGTGCGTTTACGGGCGCAAGATTTTGAACTTAAACGTTTCGCGGAACGCAGAAGCCGGCTCTCCGGAGCAAATTATTATGGCGAAGACGCTCATAAACGGGTAAACAGTAGGAAAAAAGAATTAGAAGTTGAAATTGAAGAAGAGGATATCAATGATTATTATGAAGACGAGTTTGTTGCGGGACCTCAAGCCGATACCAACGATACATTGTTAAACTCTACTAATCATAGGGCGAATTCTAACCAACAGGAGGAGCAGAAGTTCGTCTTTGATGACGAAGACTCTTGTTCAAGTGTATTGTTTTATTAAGTACTTGCATTTTGCTTTTGAGCTTTCTTGTTATAAATTGTTTTGAGCGAGAAAATGTTCAGCCTGAGATATAAAGCCAACTTTCTGAATGATTTTGTTACCTCTGCGTCCTGTGTCCCTGACGAATAAAAATCCTCAAAGACGCGAAATAATTCATAGCATGCGTCCCGCAGAACGCAAAGATCGATCGATCGATCTGAACATGTGTATTTGTAGAAGTATCCCGTTCGTGTAATTTCTGTTGCAGTTATCACGGCTGTTGTTTAACGATGCATATTTCATTTAGCCTTTGTTGTGCTTTAAAATAGAAGGACTATATTTTTATTTTAGCATACTGTAATACAGAGTTTTGGAGTCTGTCTTCAGATTAACTGTCTGGTTACATAAAGGCCCAAGCATTTTCAATTTCGGACCCCTTTTTTTTTGAACTGGAACTCATTGGTTCTGGTTTGGGACTCATGATTTTTAACAAGATGAGTCCTAGTTACCATAACTATTTGTAACCAAATCACTGCATTCAAACCTAGTTTCTAGGGTTGTCTCTTGTAAGTTGAGAAAAAAGCCATGAGTTGATGGGAAGGACTGTGTGTGTATCAATGCTCCCTTTCTCGGGAAAAATAGAAAGGGGAAAAGGCGTTGTCTAGGTATCGCAAATCAGGTCTTTCAGAGACTCTACACCTCTTTAAAGCAAGAGGTACTACAACCTCGCCCCCAGGGCTTTCGCCCCTCCCATTTTCTTCGGAAAAGCTCTGGGAACAAGGTTAGCAGCATCACAGAAAAGTACTGCGCCACCTCTGCCAATCTGTACCTTTCATGGACCTAAAATTAAAACCATTTTTTATGAGATGATAAACAGTACCACAGGAAAGTTTTGCTTCGTAACGTCAGGTTTTTTCAGGAAACAAGGCATAATTGAGTTTAGCGAAGGAACCGAGAGGGGAACTGGAGGGAGACCTCTTCCTCCTTAATTCGGCGAAATAAAAACAATAACCAACAGAAAGAATGGATCCTAAAAAAATATCCTAAACCGGATAATTACTGACTAGAATGACTGGGATGACAGCATAATCGATTGCGGTCCTTTGTACTTAATGGTCATTTATGCCTAGGATGACCGGGATGCCTGCGATGGCCAGGATGACTGGACTATGATGTCCAGGATGACCGCAATGACTGGGATAACCCGAGATCAGGCGTTATTATTATTATTATTATTATTATTATTATTATTTTGCTTCCCAGCTACTTTGGCTCAAGAGGGAAAAGATTACAGAGATAAAGGGAGAGGGCACGATCGCAGGCTATGACTGGGATGACTAGGTACACCTGAATGACCGGGATGAGAGGGATGAACAGGATGACGGGGATGAGTGGTATGACTATGATGACCAGGATGGCTGGAATGACCGGGATGACTGGGATGCCTAGTCAACCCAGACATCCCAAGTTCATCGCAGGATAACCGGTTGCCTCCTCTGCAGGCTTCACCGTCCCGACGGTCAGTGTAACCGTTACAATAGGAGTTGCCTGCGGATGAGGCTAGATAACAGGATGACTGAGAACGTGATCCAAGAGTCGTGCAAACGGACGCAACATTGTTGGTCAGCAACTCCCAACATTGTTGTTAAGGGGGGATACATACACCAACCCACAGCCTGGCTAGTTCCCCACGTATAGAGTACCGAAGTGATGACGTCATAAAAATGAAATTTGTGAAATTATGGGATTTGTTAAGCTATTCTGAAAGAAAAACGTCCAAGACGCCTACTCGCCAAAAATTAGCAATTCGGGGCAAATTGTCTCTGGGATATTAGCCCAGTTATGCTGTGACGACTCCATACATATCCTTCTAAATTTGGCTTGGTTCATAAGATTAGGAACCAGGTAAGATTTAGAAGGATTTGTATGGAGTCATCGGAGCATAACTGGGCTAATATCTCAGAGACAATCTGCCCCAAATTGCTAATTTTTGGCGAGTAGGCGTCTTGGACGTTGTTCTTTCAGAATAGCTTAACAAATCCCATAATTTCACAAATTTCATTTTCTATGACGTCACACTTCGGTACTCTATTTGCAACAGTCATATCATTGAGCCAGTAGTAATCACGAAGAGCTGTTTCGCCTTTATTAAGGCTCATCAGCAGCATGTTACATGTTGCGTCCGTTTGCAGACCCTGTTGCATTTACTTGTTGTTGGGAGTTGTTGTGCAAAGTTTCAAAACAGTCAAACTTTTAGCTACATGCAAACGGATGCAACAACTTCCAAATGAGTTGTTGCGTGTTCATGTATGAGTTAGGCGCAACCGGTCAGCGGGTATACCCAAACGAAGAAGAAAACATGGCGACTTGTTTTCATGGCGGGCAAAGAATTAGATAGCAACTTTTTTATATTCTTGCCGCAGTGTTTTACAAATGATCCTGTTTCCGATATTGAGAAAGGTTCAAGGAATTCTTGTTATGCCGGAGAGCATCTGTGCTTTTTCCTGATAGCTCAGTTTCGCGGCAAGAACCGTTCAGATGCGAAGTTCCAAGCGTGGCAAAAACGCTTGCTACGTTTGTGTAGCTGTGTGAGTGTGAGTAGCATCGATTTGATGATCCGGAAAGATGAAGCACCTACTGGCGGATTTATTACTTGTTGGCCTATCAGCTCTTTTAAAATGGAGGGAAAGGAAACCAATCTTTATAAAGAAAAGGTAATCTAAGACAACAAGCTAAGCAATGCACATGCTTAACCCTTCGAGGACCGCCTTGGTCGTTGTCATTTCTTGTGTAACGATGCATATTTTCCTTCATGAATCCATTTAGCTTTCCGTTGTAGCTATTAAGATGGTAAGCAGCTAAATCAGCTAGGATAGATCTTTCCAGAGGTACCTCAAGGCCATTCCATTTTATATCCACAAGTCCACTAGAGATTTTCTAAGGGGGTCAATGCTATAAGAAAGGTTTTTCGGAAGGGAGTTACTGTTCAACGTGCCAGTTTTTTAAAAGGTGAAAATACCAAGAAATATTATATTTTCTGAAGGAATAGGGGCAGTGTTACATCACTCATATTAGGTTCAGTGTATGCAATAATTCCTTATGAGTGACGTAACACTGCCCTTATTCCTTGAGAAAATAAAATATTTCTTGGTATTTTCACCCTTATTCTTTTGAAAAGTGCTTTAGAACTTCTTCCCAGAATGGGACAAATAATGCACCTATCAATGTAAATCCCGTGGGGGGGAGGGGGGGGGAGTACGGGCAAGGGGCGGGGATTTGATGCCTGAGACTATCCCCCTGTCGGGCTTTTGATCATGCGAAGCGACCCTGGGGTCGGGACATTTGACTTTGACTGACAGAAGCCTGGTATCAATTCAGAAGCAGTTACCAAGTCCGTCCCTCGAAGCTTTCTGAAAGTCGCGCTGTTGGAGAAAGGTGTGAAGTTTTCATTTGTTTTAATCGCCATAATCCGATACTTTAAACTGTCATCTAAACAGATAATGTCTATTTTGAGAAAGTTTTTATCTTCAAGTTCCCGTCTGATTGTAAAACTCGATTGAAATCGAATTCCACCATGAAAGTCAGAAGATTTTTTACGGGTCACTGATCCGACCTGTTCCGACATGTTGAGCAGATGTTATAAAGCATTTTACGTTTCAATAATATCATAATAGCACGGTCAATCTTCCTAGAGTGATTTTGTTGTTCAAAATAAAAGATGCTAGTGGAGAGAGAAAATACTTAATTACAGCCAGTAATTTAAAGGAGCTTATGTTTAATAAGGACGTACTTTTGAAATGTTTTTTAATTCGTTTTATACAGTATTATAGTATTGTTTGTTTAGATTTTTTCGCCTAGGGTGGGGGCTTTTTTGACACTTTTGATTGACCTTTTGTTTCCAACCCAAGGGAATTTGATCAAAAAATTTTAAAATTTGTCAAATCCCCACCCCTTGCCCACACTCCCCCCCCCCCCCAAATGGGCTTTTTTTTTCATCTACCATCATCGTTGCCACTTTTTCCCGTGGTATCAAACAAAAAAAATACAATTTTTATCCCACGAAATTTACCAACAATCCCTTCTTATAAACACGACGGAAAGCGAACAAACACAAAAACATCCCATTATTTAGATTTCTTCGCGATCGGTGGGGTCTTTTTGTTCCCTTTTTTGTTCTCTTTTGTTCCCAACCCAAAGAAATTAAACAAAAAAAATTTAAAAATTGTCACAACCCCCCCCCCCTCCCACCCCCCCCCCCCCCCCCCCAATGGGGTTTTTTATTGATAGGTGCATAACAGTGCCACATTTTCCAAGGGATACAAAACAAAAAAATATAATTTTTTCCTCAGGACTTCTGACCGAAACCTCCTCCTCAATAGAGGTGGGGAAGGGATCTGACCAAAAATACCTCCTTAACAGGGGTGGGGGAATGGTGGTTATTGAATGTAATGGCCGTCGTTTTACCAATGAGTCTTTGCTAAATTAAATAAGCCCCCCTCTCAAATATGCCCTCTGTCTCTATAAGCCCCCCGCCCCCCCCTTCAAGTGTGTTTGAAATAAATACGCCTATAGGGGGGCTTAAGAGGATTTATGGTATGGGCATGGGCAAAAAACATAAATGACGCTGAAACAGTATACTTGTGTGGGTGAGTGAATTTGAGCTTAAGCTAGAAAAAGAAAACCATTTTCCTCCATTTGTTTTGTTGTGGTTTGTATTTTCTCTTTCTAGATTGAACCAAAAATCACATCTCGTGGGGATATCATCTACCCCTTGAATGTTGTACTAGACTCACTGCCTGCGCTCACCAGAAGAATGCGTCTTTCGGTGAATGTCTGGACACCCGAGCTTGATGCATTTCAAGCAGAGCCATTCCAGAAAGGTGACTTTAAAAGATATCTGGTAAATCATGACCCAGAAGAGCTTATAGAAGAGTCACGGAATGCATGGCGATGTATAGGTAAAATTTACTTAACTATTGGAATTCAAACATGTCAGTGCAGTTTATTGTATGGTTGAAAGCTTAAACCTGGGAAGGTATTATGCATCTTATGTAAAAAATTGCAGGTTCTTGAAATCACTTTATGATGAGCCTTGAAGTCCCATGTTTGTGAGTTCCTTCCATCTCTGATTTTTCAAATGTTTGCTTCAAAGTCTCATATTTCTCAAACATTGCCAATGTGTCTCACTGAGTGGGGGATTTCTTTATTTTTTATTAAACATTGTTGATATGATTTGTAGTGAATGCAACCCTCCCAGTTGTTACACCTCCGACACTTCGGTGCAAGTATTTTCAAGTGGCTAGCAAGCATTTTCTCTGCATTGAAGGTAAATGATATACATTTTAACCTGGATTGTATATTCAACTACTGACATGACACCGACACACTAGTATAGAGTGTTTTCACAATAAAGAAGAAGAAGAAGAAGCCAGAAAAATTACTCATAAATACATTTATGTAACCTATCCGCATCTCAGGTCTGTCCAGCCTACCATTTTTTAGTTATTTTCTGACAAGTTTCATCAGTTTTATAGAGCTTTGTATGGAGATGCCATGCCGGTGTACCAACATGGGACACCAATATGGCGACCTGAGGTCAACAAAGACATCATTCTGGATTTCACTTAGTTTTGTAAATTCACATAAACACATATTTTACTGTTTGAAATGTTTAAATGGCTGAAATTATAAGGAGATAGCTTTCTATAACCAGACATCTCAGCCATCTTCAACCTGGTGAAGAGCTGATAAAAATCCAGAGGGACTCGCTATTTTGATTTTAGAGTATGATGATGTCAATGGTGAAAACACTCTATCAAGCAAACCTGTATATTCAGCAGTGAGCTTTATGTATTAAATTTCGTTGTTTTCACCTCTGATAAGCCAACTGATCTGAATTATAAAAACGTTATGTCAGTTATTTTGTCAAGTGTGAGGTTTAATAAAGTCATGAAAGCAATTATTGCTTTTATGACTTTCAAGATTACTGTAATTTGAAGGCAATTTTCAACTGTTTCTCTATTTTTTTCTAATTAAAAATGTGCTTGTCCCACGGACAAGTCATGTCAAAGGATTACATGTTCCAGACAATTGGACATAGGTTTTGGCTCACCCTGCACATACAGTACAATTAAAATAGCTTTTTATTATATAAACACCAATGAAATACCAAGTGAGCTTTTGCGTGAAAACTTGATATCTTCACATGAAAATAACATGGTATCTTCACATGTGAAAATATCACCGTTGCTAGGGCTTCATAATAAACCACACCTTTCAGACCAAAAAACTATCTAAATAAAATGGTTTGGTATTTCATCGGTGTTTATATAATTTTATATAATAAATAGAACATTACATGGTTGTTTGGAGATACAAATTTCTCTTCTTGTGTTGAAAAAAATATTTCACTCATTCGCTGCGCTCACTCATGAAATATTTTTCAACACTCGAAGAGAAATTGCGTATCTCTGCGCGGCCATGTAATATCCTCTATTTATTAAACTTTCGTTTTACATAACTTACATACTTAAGGAGGGGCAAATATAGAACAGTATAGAGCTACAGTGTAGTTTTCTTTATTTCTTTTTTCTAGTTATTAACACTTTGGGGAAGTCAGTCAATGTTTGTCAAGTAGATGTTCATGCAAGTTCTGACATTGGTGCTGAAAATGCGAGAAACATGATCCACAACCAAGTTCACTCAGCACAACACTTAAAACCAAAAATGTAAGTGAAAAGGAACATTTCTTGGCAGAGTCAATAGTAGTCAAATCATAGTAATCTTCACAGGTTCTTGAAAATGTTGCTCTTAACTGGGCTGCCACACAGTCATAATTTTGGTTTTCGGTTGTCTGTGTAGAAAAACGAACTCGCAGGGGAGGGAAGACACGAGGTCTGCAACCAAGAAACAATGTTCTCACAACTTGTTTCATATGCCTTTGGGCAGTGACATGTCATCAGTATAATTTATATTTCTGCAGTTGTTTGGTCAGAAATAAAATTCCAAAACTAATTCCCTGAATGTCTGATCCCTGCACCAGCCTTCCATCATCACCCCACCCTCACTCTCACCAACAGCAAAATATTTTGTTCTTTACTGCCTTCTGCCTCCCTCCTCCCACCCCTCAATAAAACAGCTCTCTAGACAAAATTTCCTACTGGAAAATTTATAAGAAACTTCTGCTCTAATAGAGACTTACATGAGTGGTGGCAATTTTTTGTACAGAGTTTCTCAACCCAAAAAATGGACAAGACACTTGTGCACTTTCATGTTTAATTTCTTGCTTCTTTTTCAATTTCATATCATCAGGTTCTCTTGTCTAGATGTTTTCCCAGTTTCAAAATGTGAAAATTTATCAAGCAAGCATCCAATTTTCCTCAGACCTTGGGAACACTATGCATTTCTGTTTAGAATTATTCACCATGAAAGCCAGTTGGGATCGCATAAGGTATGAATATGTCAGATCTGGGTAGTGACATGTCATCAGTATTGTACAAATTATGTACATGTATCTTTCTCTTACAATGCTAGTATGTGCTTCATCAGGTGGCCGGCAAAGAGAAAGACAATGATCAATAATAGATTCACTGATTGTTGGTACAGTGGAACTTCAATATTATAATAAAGGGCCAAGGTCCCTGCAAAATATGCTCGGTTTTAAAGGGTTTTGTTCTATCAAGACCCTTTTCCAAATGATATACTATTACCAGGACAAAGAATAAATCAAGGGCGTTGTTATATAGCAGTTTGTTATATCAAGTTTCCACTGTCATCTGTAGTAGAATTGTTTAAAATGAGGAAGACTTAAAATCTCATTTTCTTTCAATAGAAGATATTGTTTTATTGGTGGCAATAAAAACATGAAATACCGAGTTTCCTCATTGAAGCAGCCACTCCCTTGGTCTCATTGGCACCCTGACTGAATAAGCACCCTATCATGCCTGTCAATTTTTTAGAGAGTGAGGGTGTCATAAGGGAAGCCTTGTTTTGCCTTTTTTAATTATTACCATAATTTGAAAACACTGGTGTCAAAATAAGGAGACAGATTCTTCACCATCAAGTTAGTTTCATTTATATCTGTCTCCATGCAGAGTGTCCATTATCTGCCAAAGAATCACCCCCTTCAAATAGGCACCCTCTCCTCCTTTGACATATGTTGTAGTTAATTTTTAATCTCAGGTAATTTTTATTTTTCTTTTGTTTCAACTTCATTAGCATGCATTACCATACCCAAAAACAACAGAAAAACAAAAATTACCCGAGATTACAAATTAACTACAGCATATACATGTAAATTCTAGCATTATTAAATATATACAATTTAATTAATTAATTAATTTATTTATTTATTTTAGCATTTGGAAGTAGCACTTAAGGGGTCCATAACCTGGGATGTAGAAACACTCAGAGGCTGGAATCACGAAATTAACACAACGTACAGGTACTTATCGTCCCTTAAAAATGCTTCTAATATCCTATTACTGTTCCAACCAGCCATAACTAGTCAGAGTAAAAATTCATCTTTTAATAATTATAATAGTTTTGGACAACAGATCCAAAAAATGTCATCAAAGGTCGCAAGAGATTTTGTAGTTTCTTCTTGGAGAGGGAGATGAAAGATAAAGAAAACAACCAAACTCCTTAAAGTCAATCAAAATTGAGCATTAATTTGTCGGTCAGTTTGATGGATGTCCTCCTCTTCTATACTGGTTTATTATTTAAAGAAAAATTTAGTGGAATTAAAAGCTGCTCTAAGCAAAAAATTACAGCTTTTACAGTCATGAAAATAAGTCGCTTTTCAATCTAAATGTCCTCATCATAAACTTTCAGTCAGTCTTTTTTCATGCTGATACAACGTTTTTGTTTGGTGCTTTCAAGTTTTGAGTGAAAAGATAAAAATTATAAGGCCTTCTGAGCTCCAGTAACAGCTGGCAATTTTTCCTGTTATCATATGCAGATTTTATTTATATTATACAGTACAGTAGCTGGGCAAGTACCATTTCAACTACATGTAGATTCATTTTTTACCTATTACCCGTATTTATCGTATTTCTTTTTTTTATTATTTTTATATTTTTTTATGTTCCTATTTTTCAACAGCCTTCCTGTCTTTCTTGTAAGAAGGTCATCAGTCAGTGTGAGAGCAACCTGTCAGTCATGTGTGAGCAAAGGAAAGAGGTAGTGAGAATCAGCAAATGAAAAAAGATTCCATATTATTTTGTGCTAGTCTAATCGTGCCTGTTTTGTACATTGTCTCCCATCTTTCATAAAAAAAATAATGATTTGTCACTCTCAATAAACTTATCATTTTAATTAAGTACTCTCTGATTCGAATTATTGCTTTAAAAACAATCGTCGCCTGGTAAGCTCAGTTGGGAGAGCGCCAGTCTGCTAAGCGGGAGGTGGCAGGTTCAAACCCCGGCCGGACCAACACTCAGGGTCTTAAAATAACTAAGGAGAAAGTGCTGCCTTTGTAATGACACCTGCAACAGTTAGACTTTCCAGTCTTCTCCGATATGGACAAAAAACTGTAGCCCCTCACCAATGTTTGCAAAGAGTAGGGGACGTAGACCCTGGTGGTGTGGTCAACCACTCTTGGGCTTGGTGGGTTATTATTTCGTAAAGACACACTTAAATTGGAGCCCTGCTCTGTTGTGTGTTGCCCACCGTATGGTGGAAATGATTACATAAATTAATAATAAATAATATAGTTATATATTACGTGAATAAAAAAACACACGCACTCACACAAAAGAGACTGACTGAGCCAAAACTGTGGCTTGTTAGCTATCATTAGTCCTAGTCATCTATTTTGCAGAAACGGTCAGATGCATTTTGTAGAGTTTGTGTTCCTGTAAGTATAATGTTTTGTAATGTAGAATAATTAAAACTGTAAGCGTTCTGTTGACTGTAATCCTCCTTTCAAGATTTCAGGTGAAGTACACAGTAACCAACACAGAGCGAGATGATGGTAATGTTTCCCTTGTTTGGAGTCCCGTCAATAATCATGGCATGACAAAAGCTCAGCACATTTCGAGTGCAGAACAATCTGTGGTGTGTTTACAACCACAAGTGAGAATAGGGTAAGAATATTTAAGCTGCAAATTAATGGTTCTTTTATAGTAAATAAATCCTTTAGTTTACAGTTTGCAGTAACTTAGCCAAGGTGATCCTTTTATATTGTCAATAGGAAACTTGACACTGAGTTAGATTTCAAGACACTTCACATGAAATTTGAAAATTAAATTCAAAACACTTAACATTAGCAAGGTAATTACCCAGCATAAGTGAGGCCACTGGTAGTGCTATCTTGTCCTCAGACTCTTCAGTTGGAACTTGTAGCATTAACAATACTTCTCTTTGCGACTGACCCAAGGGACAAGAGCTTACAACTACAGTAGAACCCTGGTAACTCGAACTCTGTAGGGAAATGAAAAACAGTTCGAGTTCGCTAGCATCCGAGTTATCGGGGTCAATTTAAAACTTGAATTTGCCAAGTTAAAAATAGATAGTTACTGATTTTGCCGCACTTCAGTGTATGGTACAGTGAAAATTTAACTTATTTCATTAGAAATGGTAACATGATCAGGCATTTTTTATGATAAAATGTGGTCTGTTTGTTCCACCAATTAAAATCAAATTGCTTTAGTGTTAAACAGTGTTAGTTTTAGTGTTTTCACCCTTATACAACAAGAAAAGCTAATGAGATGACATCCGAGTGGAGTTAAAAGAACCACAATTTGAGCTATCAGGGTAAATTTCAGTTACTTTTTGATCAAGGGAAAAGATATTTAGTTCGAGTTAGCGGAGAATTCGAGTTATCTGAGTAAAAATGACTGAAAAGTGGGGCAAAATTAAGTTATCCAAGTTTGAGTTATCGGGGTTCTACTTTATTGGTGGCACTTGTGAGAGATTGTTCATCGTCCTTTTTCACTCTTTGAAAGGAAAGCCCTGTTTTCCCTTGGGGCGTGGCTTCTGTAGAAGTTTCAGTCAAAGAGTACTGTATGCCTGAGCATTCCTTGGCCTAATTCATGCCTACTCCCTTTCATCTATTCCATGTTCCTAACCCAGCAGTTTTCCTTTGGTAACTTCAATTTGTTTATTAAAGGTGCTGTCCTTCTGGGTCTTCACTGACTGTCAAAGTAGAGTTTTTAGCTGTGCAAGAAGGACTTCATGAGGTATTACTTCCTGCAGTTGTTGTTTTTATCATTAACATCACCCACATTGTTGAGCAAAACATTTTGCATCAGTTACTTAACCAAGCTTAACATAACCCAGTCACACCTCAACCTGCCTGAAACAGCATGGATAGATCCAAATCGCTGTGGCCTTTGGCTGCCACAAAATCCTGCTCTGCTAAAGCTATTGCCCTTTTGATGCTTTCTACTCTGAATCCCTTCCTAATAATGCCATTGAGTGACTTCATCACAGCTTATTAATCTGCTGGTTTTCTTTAGGTTGGTAAATTTATGAAGTGCCAATGGCATAGTGAGATGGATGGTAGAGTTCTTCCCGATCATTTGGCAGCAACACAGAATATGCCAGGCTTCACCACCGTGTCTCATTCATGTCAAGTTTTTGTGACAAATGGATAGTGAATAAAATATTATAAAATATAATGATATACATTATAATAATCAAATTGTTATCACAATGCACAAAATTTACTTAATTTATTTTTCCGTGACTAGCTCAATAGAACAGTTCTTAGAATTATAATAATTTATTATTATTAGAATTAATTAGAATCTGACTCAAAGTCAAATTAGTTTAAGATGGAGCAGGCCTGAGTTCAGTTCCATTTTTTTAAGCCCAAATCATCTAACAACTGTTGATTTAGTGGGAAAATATTCTTTTCTTCTAAATATCAGCATTTGACTGAAGCAGGGATATCAGTCCTGTAAGTCATACATTTAGCAATAAGGGTGTGATATTGGTCCATGTTGTTATGATAGATTGAAGTGACAAATCTTATTCCCTAGGAGAAGCACATGAAATGGAATCCAAAATTCAGCTTAATAGTGAGGTCTAGGGGGACTTTTCCTCCTTATGTTTTTACATTGTTTCACTAAATAAATACATGAGTACCCTGTGAACAGTCTCCTTCGATCTAGCCTGTTCCAGGCTCCAAGGTAGTGGTAAAAAGTCGTTCAGTAAAAAGAAATGCGAAAAATGCGCGGGGCCCCCTTTCTCAAGTCGCGCACGTCTTATTTTCGCTTTGCTCGTTTTAAGATGTCCCCATTATACTATCCGAGAGCCTGGCACTGGCTACCTTAGATCTTTCTAGATAGGTCGGGAAGAGGAAGGAACCTCTGCCGACATCCTTGACAATTCATATTGAGCTTGCTCTAAATTTAAATTTTTCTGCGAAATCAGTCAAACTGTTACCATAGCATCCACTGAGTTTGTCAAATAAAGGCAGCAGTATAAAACTTGTCTGACTTATCCAAATCGCGGGATGATCAGCAAATCAAAGAAATTTGAAGATGTCAGCAGAGTCGCTTCCTCTTTCCCAACTTATCTAGGAAAGATCCTGCTAGCAGGGTAATACATGACTTAACAAGATTGAAATTTCTTTATGTATTCAATGAGATACCTTGCTTTGCCTTGTCAATGATATCAAGTTGGACACTCAAGGAAAAAAATTGTATGTGCCCCCTCTATTACTGTTAACAAATCTATTTAATGCTTGTTGAATATTGATACATATTTAATACATTTAAAAACGTCGGTTATAATTAGTGGGGATTAATAATTTTATGATAATAGAATGAAGAATACTAGTAATATGGGTAATACTATTAATACAGAAACTGTTTTATGATAGTTTAAGGTATGTAGTGGAATGATGACAAATTGCTCTTTCATGACAGCATTTTGGATCTGACATTTCTGGTGTAAATTTTCCAAAGAACTATTTAATATATTGTTTTTAATAAAATGCACTGTTGACTGGGAAATAAAAATTGTATTATGTGGTATAAAAACTCGAGTTGCTGTTTTATTGCTGTGCTATGTTATTGCTACAAAATTCAAGCATTGATCACATTGTGAAAGGTTTGACCACATTGTCCGGGCATAACTGCTTAAATCAACATAAATCGTAAGCACAAATTAAAGAAATGATCGCCAAAGAATTCTGATCTTGAAATAATTTCAAACAGGAAATTAAATGTGGAGAATAGATTGCAGGGTAACCCTTTTAGGAAAATGTCCAAGGTGGCAGGTGCCAGTCAAACAATCAAAATCTTGATAAATGGTCAAGGTACCTTTTTTTGCTCCTCAATAGCCTGCGAGCAAGCTCTCCTATTTGGCGAGTCTCGAAGTGGGTCTCATGAGAACTCACGAGCAAGCCGCAAGGGGCAGGCCCTTGCTCAAGCGTTCTCGCGAGGCTCGCCCAAATAGGAGAGCTTGCTCGCAGGCTAGCTCCTCAAGGCGTCCCCAAGCACCATTTCTTAATAAACTAACATACTCCGGGTATGTCCATTTTATAAACAATTCTTTATTTCCAGCTATAACAAAGTACTTTTACGGAAAATAAAATGCTTTATCCATCACAATATAATTATCGTTGGGTCCTTTGCAAAATTAATCCTTTCATGCTGAGGTAAAAATCCCATGATGTCATTTACTATTTGAGAAAATCTCTCCAGAGTATTTTCTTGAAAAAGTACTACTTTTTTAGGATTTTTCAATGTAGGATTTTGAAGTCTTTCCTAAAGTTTGTCCTCGGCCAGTTCCAGAGAGTAAAAAGGTTAACTGTACTGTTCAACTGATTAGATAGTGTATTTGAGGGAGTGTGATAAGTTCACACATGTGAGCTGGGGTCAATTCAACCAAACTTTTGTTGGCTACTGTTATTCACCGGCTCATGTACCTATTGTTTTCAGAATCTGGAACAATATAAATAGTATCTTATTGCTACACTTGTGAAAACTAATGTTTAAGTTTTATTGAATTGACCCCTGGTGAATGATGAAAGCTAGCTTGAGAGCAGGCTAACTTGTGTGAGTTCAGGGAAAAGTTTTGCCACCAACGCAATAGGTAAACTCCTCGTGTGATGGTGGCTCTTCTGCCAAAATTTTGCCTGAACTCGCACAAGTGAGCCTTCTTGCAGGCTAGTTAAAGCCAGTGAGTTCTCCTTAATGAATTGAAAGGGAGACCGATACATGTACCAACATAAAGTTTTCTAAGAAAGCTTTCTTTCTTTTACTAAATTTGCTGTTCAAGCATGAGATCCAAAAAAACAAGCAGTCTCACACACTTAAGGTATTAATTAATCCTTCAACAAAGTATGCTGCTCTCTCTCTAACCTGCCTTCTTGCCACCATGTGTACACTTGTATAATTTTCATTGTCCATTCTTGTTCTGATGGAAAGTAACTGACTCATCTAATATGTCAAATGATTACAATTTTTACTTTATTTCAAGTATTTTTGCCAGGTTATTCACTCTGACTCTTGTTTTGCAGGTCTCTTAACCACATATATTTTTTGATTGGACACTGTTGCCATTAAGATGAAGTCTTCATAATGTACTGCAAAGAAGAAAAAAAAATTAAGATAAAAATGAGCGCCTTAACACTAGGCAGCCAATAAAATTAGAACTCATTTAACCAAATAGTAATATTTATTCTCCAATCTGATCTCTGTACATTTCCTTAAAGATTATTAACTGATACTCTGCTAGCAGAGTCGCTTTGATCTTTCCTGGATAAGTTGGGAAAGAGGAAGCATCTCTGCTGACATCTTCAAATTCCTTTGATTTGCCTGTTATC